TGCAGACATATTTTGGTTATCTTTTTATCTTTGGTTAGCTCTGAAGATTTTATACCTAACTAACTTACCTTTTATCAAATCAGAAAATGAAATGAGCACATAGACCATATGGTTTTTTCAGTCGTGAATTCAGGCTTTTCTAATAGACACTTTTGGGGAAATAGTTTTCGAAAAAGAAAGAGAGCCAATAATTATTTTTTTAATTGAAACTTTATCAAAAAAGCAATTAATTCAAAATTATATAAAATTTAAGTAAAAAGATAATAGTTGTAACCTTTAAACTATACTTAAATTTTCATTAATATAAATGATCTTATTTGTTGGTACCAACACTACATTATAATTTCTATTGTACGATAATTTTAGTCAACGAGGCCAAACGCCAACCTCTGCTTTCAGGTAAATCAATAACTGGTCTGATTGTAAAAATATGGTTGTCTACTTTTACATTCAAATGTTGCACTGCTTGTATTCGCTTCCTAAACAAACATAAATTCTGTTTTTCACGAGGCTCTTGTATGAGATATAAATCAAACTTTTACACAACTATTATTTAAAAATTTCCAATGTGTAATTCCAGCAACACAAAAGGAATTATTAAACCATATTGAATAAATCCAAATTAACTTTCAAAAATTAAACTTATAACTAACAAAAAGTAGAAATATAATTTCTTCTGAGATCTTTTTTAATGACATTAAAACAGCTGAGTGGATACCAGCATTTCATTTGAAACTAGCACCGCCATTCGTTGTCCCATGCCCTCCTAATGATTTAGAATTAGAAAATAAATCTCTAGACACTTCAACCGAAAACTCCAAAGACTTATTAACACCTTTCTCTTATAATGAATTAGAATTGGCATTAACGAAAACTAAGAACTCGTCTCCAGGTTTAGACATTATTTATTATACAATGCTGAGTAACCTCCCTAAGGTTGCTAAACAACAAACAAAATATGGGCTAAGAAACTGGACATTCCAAAATCTTGGCCTGTTTATATTATTTTACCCATACTCAAACCAAACAAAATTCCAACTAATGCAGATTCATATAGACCAATAGCACTGTCATCTTGTGTTTTAAAAACATTCAAATGTTGTTACACTAGGAAATTGCCAATTTCAACTTAAAAGTAGTCATAAATTCTCGGGGGTCGTATTGGACTAGAAGCTAAACTGGAAGGAACATATAAATTATATTGTAAAAAGAACAGAAAATGCTGTAAATTTAATAAACACTGTTTTCAAATATAATTGGGGTGCAGATCCCAACATAACAATTCCTTTTTATGGGGTGTTGATTAGATCGATTTTTGACTATGGTGCAATATTATACAATGATGCATCAAATATTCATCTGCAAAAATTGGACAGAATAAAATACAAATGTCTTAGATTAAGTATAGGTTCTCTCCCAAGTACTCCAGTTAATGTAATAGAATCGGAAACTACAGAACCTCCTCTCAATTTTTATCCGAAAAGTTTTTAATAAATCAAAGGACGAAAAATTCAGTTCTTCTCCCCCTCTTATCCAATTTATGTTCTATGTGTTCTGTATCTGTAACGTGTGGAGGCACTTAGGCCTCATTAGGCCCATTGTGTATGCTTCGAAGATGATAGGCACCTCCTAGCTCGTGAGCCAGCCTACAGATTTAATGTAGTTGACAACGTCGCCAAGAGGTGCTTCTCTTCTAATAAATAAGAGCGTCGAGCAATCGTAAAAGATATGCTCGATGGTCTCATCTTCTTGTTCGCACCCTCTGTAGAGTGCGGATTCTGACAGCTCCATGATATGGAGATGCTCCCGTACTTGGCAATGACCAGTCAGAATGCCTGTGACTAGCTGCAGATTCTGTCTAGTCATAGATTATTTGTATTTGTTTGCTGCAGTGTTGTCAAGTTAACTTAAGAGCTCCCTGGAAACTCTGCAGTTTCTTATTTTATCCCATCTTTCATTGAATTTCACAAGGGAATGTTCTTTAATTAGGTCTGTCACTACGAAAAAATAAAGTAAATGATAAAACAAAAAAGAAACTAAGGAAAAAGGAAAAAACAAAAAATAATACAAAACAAAAAAAAATTAAAAACAAAAAAAAAATAAAAGAAAAATATACAAAAATATATATAATTAAAAAAAAATGGATATTTTCATAATTAATCACAAACTTTTGATAGCTGGAAGTTATAATATAATAATAATAATGTAATCATGTAACAATAGTGGATAAAACAATTAAAGAATTATGGATTACTAAAATAGTCTGGCCTTTCGGTTTTATCCAGTGCTATTATTAAAAAAAAATTACATTATTAACTCACCGCTAGTCACAGCCAAAGACACTGTGGTTGATTCAACGATATAATGTTAAAATGAATTTCTAGAAAAGATTTGGCATCGACTAACCAACTAAAACTCCCACTTCGTGAAATTTCCCTTCCTCAGGAATATTGCTAGTGGCTACAACATCTTCCTTAGGGTTTACAAAAAAAAAAGGGTTCGAATCAAGTGATTCGAATCCATTTTTTCGGATCACAAATACGAATCACTGTCAGTGTCATACCATAGTATTATATATGCTTCTGAATATAATATTGCCTTCTATCAACTATGTGTCTATTAAGGACTATGACATGCATAAAAATGTTGAATAATATAAACATTTTTTTTTCTATGAATATGATCCATAAATAAATTAGAAACTACTAAAAATATATTTTATTTTACTATACGAAACAAAATAATAAACAAACAATTAAATAAAAATGTCTTTTGGTTGGCCTTACATAGCACCAACATTTAAAAGTTTACATCTGTAAGGTCGTTCATTCGAGGTGCGTCGATTATACCTGCAAACGAAAATAATCGTTTGACTGCACCAGAAGACAAGTGTTAAATTTTAGGATTTTTTTATCTACGATATTCATTGCTAATTTGTAGATTAATATGTTTATTTTCTAAATATTCACAATCGGTCTTCAGTCTCAGCCTGTTTCAGTTTTACACTTAGCGACAAGTCAAAGCTTGAGCCGACCGTTCGCGCTGGCGTAGTTTGGTCTCTAAAAGGATCCAGGGCTAATATTGGTAAATATGAATCCTTTAGGATTTCCTCCGCGAATCCGGATCATGGATGCTTTTTTTCTTAATACTGCTTCAAGATCCTCAAAAGAGTTCGAATCCTCCCCAGCTCTGGTAATACTGTCGCATGTTGTTGAGGTTGGCAGAAGGACTTCATTTTCTTGTTTTTCTTCCATAGGTATTTTCAAATTTTTAAACTTTTGCTCGAAGGACCATGAATATACACTATCGCTAAACACTACACAATACACATACGCATGAATAGAAATGAGAAAAGACGGTACCTCTAGTATGTCATCCTCCATTCGCGATATCAAGTAGTTCGGTGTGTATGGGAAATTTGTTTTAAATTTTACACTGGTAATATAATAAAAAGACTATAGATGCAATATAAATAAGCTTTTAATTACAATAAACCGAAATGTACACATTTTATTTACTCCTGTTTACTAGTTCGTCGCAAACTGCAAATATTAGATAAATTATATTTAAACGTAGTATAATATACAATAACTAGTATCTACAATCTACCATAGGATGTATAAAAAAAAACTGTATGTATAATAAAGACATACGAAATTAACTAATACCAAATTTAAACAAAAATTACGTATAAAATACGTAAATTATACTAATGTGTTCTGCCTGGGTTACTTCTGGAGTTCCCCAAGATTATCACCTGGAACCACTTGTTTTTAATTTATTTGTCAGCAATGTAAACTTCCTGTATTTGGTATAGTAATTTATTTGCAGATGACCTTAAACTTGATTCACTTGACGAATAAATTATGTAAGAGGGTAAACGTGGCAAATAAGTGACAATCTATTAATAAAAAGTATAAACAACAAAAATAAATTATCTGTTACTTTGTTTAATTTTAGTTGTTATTTTATATTAAGAAAAATAATAATTTTGTATTTCTATCATTGTTTTATTTTTATAAAAGGCAAGTAACAGTAACTATACGATATTTATTTTGTTTATAATTGCTTAGTTATTAATAATCATCTTTATCGGAGAAATTTTTTTATTATACGTGGCAAAAAGTTGCGATAACTTATTTTGCAAAATTATTTTCTTGGTATTGCGATATAAACGGGTCAGATGTCATTATTTTTCTTGTTTATTTACATTAACATTGCCCTTTCTAGGTTTAATGTCAATCTATAGTAGATAAAATGTTATTGATTCTTTCGCAAATACTTTTTTATACATCAAAATTCATAATTATCTTTACCTACTAGTCAGATTAAATGTTATCGCAATGCACTTAAAATAGAGCCATTCATTGTTTTATTTTTACAAGTTTTGGAAAGAGAAAATAATTTTATACACTCTTAACTAAAATATCTGATGTATCCTACAAATAAGTTTTCTGTAAAATAAACAAATATATTAATTACAGTCCATCTAATCAAAAAGTGTAGAATATGATTAAAAATAAAAAAAATTCCACGTCCGTTTTAATCAAAACATTTTTTTAATATCTACACTGGAAACTAAAATTCTAAAAAGATTCAAATTTTGCAGATTTCCTCAAATTATTGTCAATTTTACAAAAATTACAGAGAATGATGTACCAATGACAACTGATATTCAAACAATTTTCTTCTTTAATCATAAATAATAGAAATATACCTTAAAATAGAAAAATGACCCCTATAAAGTATCCTCCAGATGCTCCGACTATACCCAAAATCAAATCAGTTCACTGTAGGAAGGATTATAGTTTAAAATTTGGTATTTCTTCTTATCCTACACATAGATATATAGGGTACTCAGTCTCTAGCTAAAGCTATAACTCTTGCACATAATCTATATAAATCCGCCACTATAATACTACATTAAAAATATTACCTTACCATGTTTACTTACAAAATGAAATATTAGCAACTAATATTTGTATTCTTTCTTTCTATAGATCAACGCTGCCGAACGGGCTGCAAAGGAAGTAAGTTAACGTTTTATTCAATAAAAATATCTCATAATGTACTTAAGTAACAAACTTTATAATTAAATTCCTCGTTATTCACAGACTCTCAAGTATTCAAATATGTTCCTGGAACCACGTACAAATATAATTATGAAGGAAAAATAGACATAACCTTATCCTCAGCCGAAGGGCAAGTATCAAGCACTGACGTAAAAGCTCTAGTATTATTGACACAATTAGCTGACTGTAACCAACTTCTGAGGCTTCAAAACGTCCAAGTAACCACGAGTAATGGAAAGAAGCACGGCCACATTCCAGACGTGGAAAAAGCCGTACAGCTCAACTTCCACGACGGACACCTCGAGGACAGCATCTGCGCAGAACCTGATGATACTCAGAACTCTCTCAACATCAAGAGAGCGATTGCTTCCCTCTTCCAAGCAGATCTCAAGAGCGGTCACGAAACAGACATCTTCGGTGTATGTCCAACCGAAGTCGTCCAACACCACGAATCTGGCGATCTGGTCATCCAAAAGAGCCGTGATTTGAACAAATGCGCTTACAGAGAAAACCTAAGACAAGATTTCTTCTCTACCACTTTCAATTTGAACAGCGAAATCAAATCAAGTCCCATTCTCAACGGAGATTACAACGCCAAAATAAGAATCAAAAACGGAATTTTGAACCAAGCACAAGTGGTCGAAAACTATTTGTACATTCCTTTCTCGGTCGGTAAGAACGGCGCTAGAGCTGAAATTACCAGCAAACTCCATCTGGCTGGTACGTCCAGAGATAGTCCAAAATCTGCGGTTTCTGTACCAAAATCGATCATCTTCGATAACCCGCATCCCATTGTGGCTCAAACTAGCAACGTTAACACCATCTTGAACGCCGTCAAAGAAGTAGTCAAAAGCATCGATATCGTTGTAGGAGAACACACAGCTAAAGAATTCGTTACATTAATCAAGACAGTAAGAGCAGCGAAAAAAGACGACCTTCTGGCCGTATACAATCAAGTAAGATCAGGAGTAGGATTTAGCGACAAAGTAATAGCTAAGAAAATCTTTTTGGATGCTCTTTTGCAAGCTGGTGTTGGCGATGCCGTCGAAGTTGCTATAACTTTATTGAAGAGTCACGAACTTAGCGAAGTTGAAAAGGAATTGGTTTATGTTGGATTATCGTTGGTGAGGCATTCTACCGTAGGAGCAATCAAAACTGCAATTGTAAGTATTGAGTCTTTTTAGTGTACCTATTGTAGTAATAATACTAAAGCGTTACTGGATCACAATGGTAAGCTCTCCATCCAGTTCTCTAGTCGGATGTCTTGGGCCCTGAAGAAGTAGGCGAACAAGAAGAAGTGATTGACAATGACCGGTAAGTGCATGACAGAGCTGTATTCACCACTAAAGGTAAGCAGAGGTAAAAAAAATGTCGCAGAAGATATCAAAAGGTAGAGAGGTGTCATAAGTACAGATGTGTCACCTATAGAGTGAGCCTAAAGAGTATTGACGAGCCTCGCCCACTATAGTCCATATTGTATTGTATTAAAGAGAAAAGAATAAATCTGATAAAGACCTGATTAAAAGCTGATCAAGACCTGATTAAAAAATGATCAATACTTGATCAAAAATAAATCGTTGAGATATAAACGAATATAAATCAAGATCTAAACTGTTGTTGATCAAGTCTTGATCTGTTTTTATTTAGGTCTTGATCAGGTTTTAATCAGGTTTTAATCAGGTTTTAATCAGGTTTTAATCAGGTTTTAATCAGGTTTTAATCAGGTTTTAATCAGGTTTTAATCAGGTTTTAATCAGGTTTTAATCAGGTTTTAATCAGGTTTTAATCAGGTTTTAATCAGGTTTTAATCAGGTTTTAATCAGGTTTTAATCAGGTTTTAATCAGCTTTTAATCAGGTTTTAATCAGGTTTTAATCAGGTTTTGATCAAGTTGCATTCTAGGCTGGGCGAGGCTCGTCAATACTTTTCAAGCTCACCTGTATAGGTGATAGGTGACACATTTGTATACACCTGTACTTATGACACCTGTCTACATTTTGCTACCTTCTGCGAAACTTCTTTCTACCTCTGCCTACCTTTAGAGGTGAATACAGCTGTCACGCATCTTCCGGTCATTGTCGATTACTTCTTTGTCTTCATCCGACTAGAGAACTGGATGGATAGTTTACCATTGTGATTCAGTAACACCTTAATATTACTACTTATTGTTGAATTTTTTTTTTTTTGAATCCAAACTTATGCACTTTTATGAAGAACATTTTTTTTTCTATAATAGATTTAGGTTTCTTCAGAAATAGCTTCTCAAAGATTTTTTAAAGTACTGAGAAGATGTAGATTTCTCTTTTCCTGGGTTTAGGATCATACATAGATTAAAAAAGAGTGTGATGCGACCCAGATTGATCTATTGTGTTTCACCATACAAGTCACACCTTTTGATGAAGGTGATGGTTGAATTGGGTGACACTTGTTTAAAATCAGAAAGCTCCAGTCGGGTGAATCCAAAGTTCTGGAATTTAGTTCTCTCTTGAATGCTACATAATCGACAGTATGATGTTTGTTGCAAACCTATCCTTCTCAAGTGGTTAATAGACGACAATTTCCTTTCATCAGTTCCGGGCGAATGCGTAGATCTTTCCTAGATGACAATGTCCTGACATTAGTCCCCTGAGAATGCGTAGATTTTTTTTCTGGATCTGAGCAGAGGCGTTCATGGAAACGCTGTATCCCGGAACCTAGGTCAAAGTAACTTTGTTCCGAGCACTGAGACACTCAATGGTATTTAATCAGTACAGAACTAGATTTGAGCTAACTAGAGAGGAGCTCAGGGCCTAGAGGGTCTTGAGGTCTAGCTATCCAAAAAGATCTGTATATAGCAATCATTTCTGCTTGGAAGATCGTGGCCAAAGATCCCAGGTTTATTGTTTTGTTACTTCTTTGCCTCTGGCCAAAAACTCCCGCTTTTACTCTTTTCTCAATTTAAGAGTGGTCGGTGTACTGGGTTTAGGATCATTATTACTTTAGCTATTTTCCCGACTTCTTCAGACTCCCCCAGACTCTTCCAGACTCTAAAAGTTCCAGGCTTTTTTTAATTTAAGTTTGTCCATATTTTTCTGCTATTTTACCAACAATAACCAATCTGATATCTTCCTCAGATTTTCGTCTTCTTTTAAGATTATGTTTGGTTCATTAGGCTGGAAGATGTCTTCCAGGTATTCTGCAAAAAGGGTTGCTAAAACTCGCTATATTTTTGTCCGCCCTTCTTCTTCTTCAAATCTTGTATTTGGTATTTTTTTTCATCTGTGATTTCTCTTAGACATGAGCTAACTGTGATTTAATTCAAGTATCTCTCTCTTTGACTATTAAGCGAGTCTATTAGATATGCTTCGGTTATTAGAATTCCTTTATTACTGCCATTTAAATCTAGTTTTTCTTTTTTCTCTAATTAATTCACAGATTTATATTAGTCTGTATTATGTGTTTCCAGACTGATTGCCTTATATCTACCTTAAAACGTTTTGCTTCCTGTTCTGGTTGTATTCTCTTCAACAGAATGAATTCTACTTAGATCAAACATAAAACGATTTATTTCTTCTAGCAATTATTGAACCTGCACGACCTTCCGCAAGAAGCTTACTTAGGAATCGGTAACTTAGTTGGCAGTTACTGCAGACAACACTCATGCGACAACGTAGAAGCAGTCAACGAAATAACCACGAAGTTGGCTACAAAATTAACTCATCCTAAAACCACCAACAAGAAAGAGGAAAACGAAATCATCTTGGTATTGAAGAGTTTAGCGAATTTCGGTCATCTCAATGATGTTATTGCACAAAAAGTAATCGATATCGCTAAAAATAAGCAAGCCTCCGATAGATTAAGGGCTGTAGCTTTGGAGACTTACCTTTCGGATCCTTGCAAGGACAAAATTAGGAACAGCGCGTTAGCAATCTTACAGGATATCCAACAAGATTCTGAAATCAGGATTAAGGCTTATTTGGCTTTGGCGCAATGTCCCAATGCCAAAATCGGTAATGCTGTGAAAGCTTTGTTAGAGAAGGAGCTCAGTTATCAAGGTAATGTTTTATACATTTTCTGTTTTCGTATTAATTAATAATATTAAATTGTATTTTACAGTTGGTGGATTCATCGCTTCCCATGTTCGTAACCTCAAAGCTTCCGCTAATCCAGACAAGCAGCTAGCTAGACAATTCCTCAACTTCAATGTTCCCAAAAAATTCCCAATTGATTTCAGAAAATGGTCATACAACGGAGAAGTATCATACGCAGTTGACACACTCGGAATCGGTGCTTCCACCGAAGCCAACATCATTTACTCCCAAGAATCCTTCTTGCCCAGGTCTACCAGCCTAAATGTAACCGCCGAAGTCTTCGGACATACCTTCAACTTCCTGGAAATCCACACTAGACAAGAAAACTTGGACAGACTCGTCGAGCACTACTTCGGACCTAAAGGTGTACTCAGAAGCTCATCTCTCGGAGAACTCTTGAAGAACAAAGACAAAGTTTCCACTAAATTTTGGAGAGACCTCAATTCGAAACTCGAAGCTAGTCTAAGAGCCAGACGCGACGTATCCAGAGCCGAAATCGACAATATTGGCAAAAGTGTTCAAATTAAAGAAAACGTTTTGAACAAGGATCTCGATCTCGATGTCAGTATTAAGGCTTTCGGTTCAGAAATTTTGTACAGAAATTTGAACGTTTATCAACAAGGACTCACCCCAGAAGCTGTTACCGATAACGTTGTGAAGCGTTTCAATGAAGGATTGAACCAACTTAAAAATTTCCAAGTAAGCGTTTAATTTTGCAGTGATTAGTTGAATTCGTCCCATTTTAGTCAATTGTTTGATGGTTTTCGCTTCGAATTATTTCGAACTAAACCGATAGATGTGAAATTTGGACAGTAAGTAAAGAATGATTTAAGGATATGCGCTTTGAACATGCGTGTGGATGTCACTTCTTTTCGGGAGTGGAAATTCGTAAACTAAAAAAAAAAACTGCAGATATTGATAGATTGAAATATTTTAAGAAAAAGTTAATATTGTTTGAGTTATTTCCTGTCAAAAATGTGGATTTTCCATTCAAAAAAGGCATGTTTCATAGTAATTTTCACGAATAACTCAAAAATCTTACCTTTACTCAAAATAATAAAAAACAAATGAAAGCTTTTTAAAAACCAAATCAATTGTTTTTTTTTTTTCATTTCTCTAGATCAGTGGTCGCCAACCTCTCAATGTGTTAAGCTACTTTGTTAATTTTGGAATAAACAGCGAGCTACCCACACGGAAGCCACGTAACGCAACGTAAATGAAATAATCCACAGTTAATTTATCATTATATGTATTTATTTTACTATTTAACTGGTAATACATAATACATAGGTACTAATAATAAAGTAATAACAAAATAACTAATATTACTAGTACGTACTTGTTAATAGCTACATTACTACCTACCAAACGAAGGTGTTTGAAAAATAAACACAAACTTTTATCTAGCCACAACGGCATGTCACGTAAGATTTAAAAATAGTTAATAATAACAACAAAAAAGTAACGCAACATCATGAACATAAACATTGAAAAATAAAAAAGCACGTTCAATGAGAAGGCTGACACTCAGACTCATCGATAATTTTTTTATTATTTGCAGTATAATTTGATACAGCCATTCGAATACAATTATCCAAATGTTCATCTGTAAGTCGATTGCGATATTTGTTCTTAATAAACCTCATATTGGAAAAAGAAGATTCACACAAATAGGTTGAACTAAATAATGCTTTCACTTTCAAGGCAACACGGCATAGAACTGAATATTTATCTTTACTTACAATAGGCCAGATACATTTGGTACTTGAGACTAAAGATTTTAAGGCTAAATCATTTTGAAACTCAATTACTTCTATTTCTGTTGCAGCAATGTCTTCGCCAAAGTTCTGCATAACACAAGTTGCAAACTGTTGGATATCAATTTCCATTAAGGGTGAAACAACAAACTGCGCTACTAAAGCCATTTCGTTGAAATCCTTAAAACGATTTTTGAAGTTATTCTTCAGGGTGGAAACTATTTCTACATGATATTTGATGTCATAGGGTTCTAATGGATTTTGAGATATTTTTTCTGAAAGAATTGGAAAATGCTTGGCATCGCTGTTAATTAGGTTTTGTTCCAAAACTCCAGCTTTTTGATAAATGCTTTTATATCAGAAATCATTTCCGATTGTTCTTTGTCTCTTCCCTGAAGCTGCAAATTAAGTTCGTTTAATTTCTCTGTAATGTCCACGAGAAAAACAAAATCTCTAAGCCAGATTGAATTTTCTAGTTCCGGAATCGATTCATCGCGTTGTTTGAAAAATTTAACTATGCCAGATAGGACATCATTAAAACGTTTCAGCACCCGTCCTCTACTTAACCATCGGACTTCAGAGTGAAGGAGTAGGTCCCCGTATTGACAGTCAACTTCATCGGCCAAGATTTTGAATAATATTCTTTGTAACGCTTGAGCTCTAATCTTGTTCACAATTTTTACCACCAGTTTCATAACGTTGCTTAGTTTTAGGAAATTTCCACATAATGCTTGCTGATGGATAATGCAGTGGTAACAGAGAAATTGCGGAAAAGTTTCATCTTTACGACATAACGCCACTAGACCCTTATCACAACCCACCATAGCTGGAGCGCCATCGGTTGTCAAGCCTACCATTTTCGATATTGGAATTTTCTCGGAAGAAATAATATTTTCTAAATGAGAAAACAACTCCTGTTCAGTAGTGTGTCCTTTCAGTGGAATAAACTTCAAAAGATCTTCTTTAATCGTAAAATCACTAAAAACCATCCTGACGAACACAGCCATCTGGGCAGTGTCAACGACATCTGTTGATTCATCCAGTTGAAGTGAAAAATAAACACAGTTATCTAAGTCAATTCTTAACTGTAAAAAAATATCATTGCTCATTACTTCTACACGTCTCATCACTGTATTAGCAGAAAGTTGCATAGATTTTATAGCTGAAACTATCTCGTCTTTATTTCTAAAGTTGGCAAATAACGAATCAGCAGCTTCTAAAAACGCCTGTTTTATCATTTCCCCGTCTTCATAAGGTTTCTTTTTTTGTGCAATTATCTGGGACACACGGTACGATGCTTCAGTTGCAGCCTTATTTTTGTCGACTGTTCTTAAAAATATTGATTGTTGTCCAATTAACTGCTTTTTTAACTGTTTCAGTCTCTCCTTTCTGGCGGCAGAATGTAGTGGGAATGATTTTTTAAAATTAGAATGTACAGTTTTATGATGTCTCTCAATATTTCCTTTTTTAGCAACGGAGACCGAAGTATTACATAACAAACACACATTTTTATGTTTAACTTCTGTAAAAAAGTATTGTTCTTCCCATTCCGAATAAAAGTGGTATGTCTTTACCTTCTTACAACTGCTTGCCATAATATTATTTTTTGTTGTTTTCTACTAACCCAACCGCTGGACGTTGGTTACGCGTTCAGTTTTAAACTAAGCGCAATGTCGCCGAGCCGTGCGTATTTATCCCGTTCAAATCAATCCTGATCGTTCTCGAACACTAACGCGCTGGTCCGGCTGGTCGGTTCTAGCCGATTCTAGCTTGATGGCGTCAGCGGCAGATCGCTCACCGCAACGTTGCCGCTGTTTATGTTTAATATTATGACAATTAGATATTTTGTGGAATTTTCGGAAGCTTCTCTGATTTTTGCAGTTTGTATTTTTTAAATTAAAATCGTTGTGAGAGCTACCAGAATTGTCTCCGCGAGCTACCGGTAGCTCGCGATTGACAGGTTGGCGACCACTGCTCTAGATGCAATACGAACTCAATTATGGCTCATTGAAAGTAAAGGTATGTTCGTCGAAACATTTTAACGTTAAATAATGGGAAAATGATACAGTTTTAGAGAAAAAGTCATGAGAGCTTTTTAAATTACTTTCTTTTAAAGTCGTTAGTATGAAAACTGTTCTCATGAAAATACAATGGTTTTTTCGTTTTTCTAGAGAAAAAATGATACGCTATATTTATGCACTAATCATATGTTCTAGAAGTTTGAACGGAAGAAAGTTTGATTCGATTTTGAAATAATTTATGCAAAATCGAAAAACCTTTCTTTTTTCACAATAAGTCAAAACTATTTCTTTAATTTTATTCCGATTTTCTTCAAAATCAATAAGCTTTGTCCCATTATAGAGCTTAATTTTTGCTAAAAGTTTCAAGTTCATATCATTTTTAGTTGTTGAATTAGGATTTTTTTTTATTTTAACCCCCCTTTAACTCCCCAATTTGTTCAGATTTTTTACAGAATCAATAGGCTTCATCTTTTTATAGAGCTTAAGTTTTACAAAAAATGTATTATTTATATCGCTTTTCATTTTTCGATTTGTGAACTTTTTTTAATGTTAATTCCCCTTAACCCCCCTATTTATTCAGTTTTTTTTAATCATTAGGCTTCGTTCGCTTTTTCCTGAAATTTTTCATTTTTGACTTATCGTTCTGACAAAAAACGATACAGGCGGACGGACATTTTTGAATTTGATGGGAAGGATTTTGGCACAATTTTTTTTAAATTTTTACCAATATTAAAAATGTTTGTTTCTTAAAAATAAACCTATAATACTTTTTCTTCTTCTGCTAGTTCATAGTATAAATCAAAGTTTGGGACATTCTAAGATAATGTGGTTTAATGAGCCAATTTGACCACACTCTCAAAATGGATCATCTTTTACTCCTATATGAAATAAGTGATATGTGGATAGGCAATGTCCTGTCCTTATCCTAATTACAGTTCATCAAATTTCTAGAGGCTTTCGACGGCTAGACAGAGAAAGCACTACTGACAGGCATCCCGACGGATTTACGCAATGAAAGTACACTCTGCGCATCAAGTACTTCACTATTTCATTCAGACGTAAATGTCAGATGTAAATTTCGCTAAAACATTTCTTTTATTTTCGTTTGTGTTTTTTGCTCATTACAGTTTAATAGAACCTAAGTATGGAGTTTAATAGCAAATTAAGAGGCCGCGTGATTAACAGTCAATCTCGCGAAATAATAGCCAATGTTATAGAGTTTATGAGAAGAGAAGGAAACTTTAATTCACCTTCAATACCATTTCAAAATGTAAATGATCGTGTTGCTGTAGCCACAGGAGTATCTAAAAACACTGTCGTCCGCATTTCTGGAGAGAAAAAAGAATCGATAACCGTGAGATATCGGAATTTTCATCACCAAGAAAAACCATTAAAAAACCAAAAACAGTTAATGATATAGATGAAGCTGCACAAGAATCAAATTTTATTTTTTTATTATTAGATAGCTATTTTTGTTTCTGAGTTGTGTTCATTTACAGGCTCAATTTTTTTCCGTTTCTCCTTTTTGATTTTATATGGGGTTTCAAGTTGTTTTTGACTTATTTCGACGTAAATCACAACAACACACTTTTTTAATGAAGCAAACAAGTGTTAAGAGGTATATGTACGTGTAAACTACAATTACAAAAAATTGATATGAAACCCATGAAACCACCAACAAAAATGTAAAGCTAGCTTCCGTACTAGAACATGGTGTCATTCGTCGAGATAATTTATCGTTTTGTTTAATAGATCAAGAAATGTAAATATTCCCCTGTTATTTTTTATAAAATTATAAGAGAAATAAATTTTTTTCTAAATAGTATAGTTTATTATTTTGTAGAAAAACAAAATTTCGAAAATTTTAGTAATGTTTCAGAAACAACCGTTATTAATAATTGGTACCATTTTCCTTAATAAGGTAGAAATAAAATATAAACTATTTCCACGATTTACAAAGGCCTACAAAAAAATTTAGGTATTTTCCGCTATCCTATAAAATTTATATTTTCTGACTCAATTTCAAAAGGTTGAAGGAATTCCAAAACACCTTTTATGGCATAATAATTATTTTCAATTCTACATACTATCTTTACTGCTTTTAAAAACGTTCTAAGAAAGTCCAATCAGACCAATTTAATCCCTAAACTATTCCACACTTTCAAAATTTAATTACCTAAAAATATTAAAAACTATTTAAAATAACTTGTTTAGCAGACTGTACAATAGCTATCTTAGTCACACGTAGCGCGTTCTCTGTCTGGGCGTCGAACACCTCTAGAAATTTGATGAACTGTATTGTAGTTAAATGTTTTCTGTCCTTGTAGGGAAAATTTAAAAACTATTTCATTCTTCAAGCCATCTTGAATTCACAATGTTTCTGATGAATGGAAATAAATTATGATAGTTTAATTTAATATTCACTGGAATATTCAGAGATCTTTCTATATTTGCCAATTGATCTGCCTTGAAGTTACTCATAATCTCAGAGTGGCCTGGAATCCATGCCAGAATTATTTTGATATCTTCATCTTTTGTAAATAAGATACCATCCTTAGTCAAGAAGGAACAATGTTCAGTTTCCCTAGAAAAGCATGATCTTGCTATTTTTTGAAGTGCAGCTTTGGAGTCTGAGAGGATAATGGATTGAACGATGTTTTTGTCTAATATTACTTGCAAGGCCTTAATCTATATCTGGACTATACACTCCAAACCCTGAGTGACCGGAAGAGTCTATTGAGCCATCAGTAAAGAACTTGGTGTAAGATGGGTATTTCCTGATGATATTCTGATATTGAAAAAATACCGGTAAGTTGGTAACTAAAAAATCAACTGTATTAGTTAATCAAATTGTGATGAACTAAAATTGTAAATATTTAAAACTGTTTAGTGAAGATAAGAAAATTATTATATCTAAATGGAATCAACCACTATGTATTTACTTCAGTGAAAATAGTGAATTAAAAACACTTCTTTTTCTACTACCTATGACTCGTTAGTTATTTCTACAAAAGAACCCAATTCTTCTAAACCCAGCGACATATACTTCCGAATATTTCTTTGGTAAAAATGTTCTGTAGCATATTTCGCTGGGTTTAGAAGAATTGGGTTCTTTTGTAGAAATAACTAACGAGTCATAGGTAGTAGAAAAAGAAGTGTTTTTAATTCACTATTTTCACTGAAGTAAATACATAGTGGTTGATTCCATTTAGATATAATAATTTTCTTATCTTCACTAAACAGTTTTAAATATTTACAATTTTAGTTCATCACAATTTGATTAACTAATACAGTTGATTTTTTAGTTACCAACTTGAAAACATTTGTTTGTAGAATTTCTTATGCCATAACAATTGTAGAAGAAATAACTTTCACCAGAAAATAAAATGCATTAAACGCTTGTAAAAATGTAGAAAGTAACGTGCCGTCGGCAGAAAGCACCTGGCAAAGACAACTGTGAGCGATGATGGCAAAAAGACAACTGAACTCGATGGCAATAAGACAACTACTGAATGATGGCAAACATACAACTAACTCGTTTGTGGCAATAAGACAACTGAATTCCTCGCGTCGAGCTCACCCTAATATATACTGTTGAGACGAAATGAGTGTCCGGGACATAGTTGACGCACCTATTCGGTTTCAACCAATGAAAACATCATGACATAATGAAATACGTCATTTGTGCTTCGTTCACTATGCGCCGGACACTCATTTTGTTCCAATGCACCGCTGTGCACTTGAAAACACAGGTGTTCGACGTTCGGTATTCTGAGAAAAATGCTATTTATAGTTTTATGACTTCACATTATATTAGGGTAAAAAGCAGTCGAACTATTTGAGAATTGTTTATTTAGTAGATGTAAAATATTAATTTGTTGATGTTTTTACTGGTGAAATTGTAGAATTTAACCAGATATTGTACAATTCCTTTACTTTCAGATTTAGTAGCGCCAATTGGGGGGTGGCAATTGGGGTTGTAAATCAAATTTATAACATGGTAAAAGCTCTGAAGTATGTAAGTGAGGATTCACGACATTTAATTGACTGATGAGCTAGATTAGTAGAGGATTACTTTTGTTGTTCCAGTAGGTAGAGTCCTCCCATAATCTTTCTAGTTTTCTTAAAGCAGTGATAATGGGATTGTTTACCAAAGAGATATTTTTAATTAGGTACTTAAGGGATAGCCATTCTCTTCTAAATCTATGGGAGATTTCACCTGTCTCCGTCAATAAGGCTAGAATTGGGGTAGATTTCATACACCCTGTGATGATACGAAGGCTTTGGTTCTGAAATGTATCTAACTTCTTTTGTATATCCTGGGAACACGGTATTATAATTTGACATCCATAATCCAAGTGGGACAAAATGATTGATTTATGTAAAATTCTTAATATTTGTGAAGCCTATAATACTCTTCACAGACTACTGTGTGAAAAGTATAATAATATGAAAAATGAGGAGATTTTAATTCATTAAAAGATGACAATTAAAAAATTTTAACCTCCTAAATTTTTTTTTGTTAATTTCTCATAAGCGATGATTTTTAACATACAACAGATCATTAATTATGTTCAATAATAGAAAATAATTTTTATTTAAATATTTACACATGATTTAAATCCAAGCAACGCTTAAATATATGGTTTTCAAATTTTTCGTCAAAAGGGGTAGTTTTCAACCCCTAAAAATAGGTAGCACACTTTAAAAACTTTTAAAAAAGGTAGTAAGATAAACTCAATTACACATTTTTATGCAAATCGGTATAGCCCGAAAGAATTTTTAGGAAATAGCCCCTAGTCATACCATCAAACATTGGACCAAAAAGACAGTTTTGTTTACTGAAACATTTTATTTGATTGAGTACTTTTTTTAGGAAACCTTCCGTACCAACCTTCTCTTCCTCGATGTCGAATTAGACTACCCAACATCTCTTGGTTTCCCTCTCCGCCTGGCCGTAGAAGGATCATCAAACACTCAACTAAAAGCCGAAGGAGGTATCGATGTTCGCGCTTTGGTTAACAGCAAAGACACCAATATCAACGTCAAACTCATCCCCAGTGCCAGCATCGAAGTAACCGGAAGACTCACTTTAGACGCTTTAGTAGTCGAAAACGGTCTCAAAGTAGTCTCGAATCTCTACACCGCAACAGGAGGCGATCTCAAAATCGATCTCTCAAACGGACTGAGCGGCGTTAACGTCAAACTTGGTCTACCCGTTAAAATTCAAAAATTGCTATCGGCCAATCACGAAATCGTTTTCGAATCTAGAGAGCAATCTGGAGCTTCTGCAGTTATCCCGCTTAAGTTCGCCCAAGCCAAAGATTTTTCCATCTGTTTAGACCAACTCAGTCCATTCATCGGTTTGGCTTTTTGCGCTGAAATCAACGGCCCCAATGTAGCTGGTAAACAAGTTCCAGTCTTACCGTTCCCTCTAGCTGGAGACGCTAAAGTCGTCATCAGTATTGAAAACGAAGATGTCAAAGAATACCATTTCAAGGCTGTCAATAAAGATTTCGTCTCTGGTAATGTACTAATCGAAACTATTGGTCTAAATGGTCAGAAAAAAGTGAGCGTTGAATTGCAAGGCGAACTCCATCCGCAAAAATTCATCAAAGCTATTTTCTCATCGCCTGGTAAATCAGCTATTGCCGAAGCCAGATTAATCAACACCAATCAAGAAAAATCTTTGCTACTTAAAGCCGGTCAAGATAACATCGAAACTTATCTAAAGTTCGGAGTCGGCATCTCAGGCTCTCCGAGTCAACAGGTTTACAATCCAATTCTCGAATACAAAACACCGGAGGGTAGCCAACAGGCTGTACGCGTTGAGGGAAGAATCATCGCTGAACAAAATGGTGCAATCAGAAAATATATTTTCGATAATATCAAAATGCATTTGCCAAACCAGAAAGTTATCGGTTTGAATGGAAATATTGGAGAGGAAAGACCCCATGAGATCTTCAGTGATTTGACTATTTCCGAAGGACAAAACTCTGGATCAGTGAAAGGTAAGTTTTGTAATAAGAATACTATTTAAACCACTAGTTCTCGACCTCTTTGCTCAATGTCTTAATTGAAGGCCTTGGGTCTAGAAGGGTACATACCACCTAACAACGTTTTTGAGAAAACATCATTTTTAACTTAGTTGCTAATTGTGAAATCCATTTTTATCGGAAATAGGGTTAAACAATCTTTGGAAATATATAATTAAAGATATACCAAAACATCCTTTCATTTTCATCAATTTCTTCTTTCTATTCCACTTTTTTCTCTTTCTAAACTAGTTTAGTGCCCCACGTTGGGCGCCATTTGATATGGAAAGCCTGAAGGAAAGTCCTAGTGGTAACCTCCAATCTCGTAAAACTTCTTCGGGCTGACTTTAACAAATGTAGAAAAAAATTATAATTTTGGATTTTTTAAATTATTCTTTCTCAAGTCTGCTTTTCTAACTTTCTCTCCCCACTGTCCTGTTCATGCTACACTGTATTTTCTTTGCCTCCTGTTTTTCTGTTTTAACGCCTTTTTTATCCTTCCAGTTCTCCTGCCTCCTCTTTATAACTGCTTATAGACCGGGAGCCGAGAGGGTTTTTGCATGTATCATAGGCCCCACGACGAGACTAGGGGCTGATAGTCAACGTTATTCCTCACTTTGAATTCCCGATATGGGGGTTGAATTTTCAAACGTGTAATTAATATCCATGACCTTGTATCATAGGCCCCACTTTAATTCTTGTTTTATGTCGTCAAAGGCTTTGCCAAAGTCCGCGAACTCAATTTGCCATATCAATATGGAGTCACTTAAGGTCCGCCATACTTACCGAAATGCGTAATTTTTTCACTGTGGACATGTATCATGGGCCCCACGCTGTTGTTTCGTGATCTTGGTTAACAATGAGCTGTAGAACAAAGATTTCAAAACGCCATACCTCTGGGGCGTCGCCAATTGGCCGCCATATTGGGACAAACATGTCATTTTTAGCAATGAACATGTATAATAGGTACCGGTATGGCGTTTTGGTTTTAAGATGGTCTGTTGCATCACTTTAGCAGGGGTTACACTGCCATACCGATAGCGTGTCGCTAAAGGGGTGCCATACCGAAAAACTATTTTTTTTTTGTTTTTAGCGACGCTCTGGAATAGCTCGGCAGAATTGCTTCCAAATTTATATTTACAGGTTTTGGGGGTTGCTAATTATAAATTTGATATCAATCTTGTAAAAATCAAAATGGTGGACGCAGTATGGCGGACAAAAAAAATGTCCAAATTCGTAGATTGTTATAAAAATGTGTATATACAGGGTTTTTAGGTCATTACTTGTGAAATTAATGAAAATAAATTTACGATTCAAAATTTCGGATCTAATATGGCGGACAAAATATTCTAAAATGCTTTCATTTTTCTGAAAATGCGTACTTATAGGTTATCGAAGGTCACTGATGATAAAATCAATGAAGTTTATTGTTAAACTACTGATCAACGAGAATTATTATTATAAAAAATAAAATAATTGTAAAATTAAAATGCGCCTACAGGACCACGATACATAATCTGGCAATTTGCAAATAAAACACACTCGTTTTTCATTAAAAATGTCTTTATCCATAGTGGCAAGAATTTCACGTACACTTCTCACACAAACTGCCGGCAGAATAATGGCTTCGATTCCGTCGCGCTACGCTTAAGCTCGGCCTTCGGATGCAAATGTGTCGTTCAGAATCGTACTTATTTCTAGTATTCATACGTGCGTATAATTTCGTTGAAATTTTAGGAATATTCAGAAAAAAACTAATAATATGGAGAAATATGGAATTTACTTAGGTATATTTTTTGCATATATTTTTTGTATACATTGTAGGTACATATATATTTTATATATATGAAGGGTAAGGGAAAAAACAGACGATGTCACAAAACTGACTTAACTAAAAAAATTGAGTTTATAATTAATATTATTACCAAATCGTATGTTATAGTATTAGAAATTATTAAAACTGCACGTAAATATTATTAACGTAATTTATTACTATAGAGTTAAATAATTTAAACGTAAGAATATTATATTCAGGTCAAAAAAAAAATAAACGTGACAAATAACTTATTAAAAAGGAATGATTTTCATTATAAAACTAACTACATATACAAATAATGTTTTTTTAAATAATTGTATATACGACTAATTGTGCACATTAACGACATGCCATGGGTATGGCAGTGATATATTCGTGCTTTATACCTCAAAATATACATAAAAATGCCAGTATGGCAATGGGGCCTTTAATACACTTAACCTATAAAAATGTGACCACTTTGGAAGCCTATTTCTGACGTTGGCGACATCGCATCGGTATTGTGCTATTAGACCTTTGTTTATGATATCAAAATTAACAAAGAAAACAAATTTCCATGGTGAAGCCTATAATACATGTTCATTGCTAAAAACGACATGTTTGTCCCAATATGGCGGCCACTTGGCGATGCCCCAGAGGTATCGCGTTCTGAAATCTTTGTTCTACAGCTCATTGTTAACCAAGATCACGAAACAACAGCGTGGAGCCCATGATACATGTCCAAAGTGAAAAAATTACGTATTTCGGTAAGTATGGCGGACCTTAAGTGACGCCATATTGGTATGGCATATTTAGTTCGCGGACTTTGGCCACCTCCTTGACGAAATAAAACAAAAAATAAAGTGGGTCTATGATCCGAGATCCGAGGTCATGGATATTAATTACACGTTTGTTACCCCACCTAAAAGCTACACTTTAGGAGTGCCATACCAGGGAATTCAAAGTGGGGAATAACGTTGTCTATCAGCCCCTAAAGTCTCGTCGTGGGGCCTATGATACATGCAAAAACTTTCTCGGCCCCCGGTCTATTATCTGCTATTCTCAAAATTGTCCTTTTCTTATTTTATCTTTATTTTCAACCTTTTTAAATATCTTACTCTTGTATATTTTAATATCTTTATTTTATTTAAACTTCAACCACTATCTCTTTTATATTTTTAATATTTTTTCAAAACCTGACAATTCCAATTTTTAATGACAATCCCCTAAAATATCCATATCCATAGCAACCCTATTTTTTCAATCTAATAAAAAAGACCAGACTAGTCGACATACTCTAAAATAAACGGAGTCCCACAATAGATCTGAAAATGTCGCGGTGGACAAGGACAAATAACGTCCAACTCCTAATCTAATCTAATCTAACCCTATTTTTTCCTTAGCTGGACTCAGCCCGAATAAAAACTGTGCAGATCTGTGGGTCGCGGAATTTTGTTCGAAAATTTTTGTTCGAATCTTTTTGTTCGAAAACATTTTGTTCGAAAAGTATTTTGTTCGAAAGTTATTTAGTTCGAAACCAGTTTGTTCGAAAACATTTCGTTCGAAAGTTATTTAGTTCGAAAGGTATTTAGTTCGAACACATTTTGTTCGAATATCTAATTTAAAAAATATTCTTCCTAGACAAATATAGTGAATTTCGAACATGGCTTTGTAAAGCCGAAAGTGCTAGCTTATTGTTATTAATTATTTATACACACTAAGGTACGTGTCTATTTGTTTTTTTAAGTCGTATAAGTCAAATTTGTAGGAAAATAGGGCTTTTGATATAATTTGCTTAAAAATTGCGTCGTTTGATCTGTTAAATGTTTATTGAAATAAAAATAATCTAAGAAAGATGATATTTTATTGAAATTTAATTTTTTGTTAAAAAAACTTTAAATAGTTCCAGGTCGCACAGGTTATTAACCATCTGTTGTTATAATAATATACATATTTGTAATGACAATACTATTTCAACAATGTCAATTATAAAATCTTTAAGAACTAAATTTGAGTTCATTTAAGGTCTGTTTCTTTCAAAATTATTTAGAAAATTCCAATTCGATGGCTTTGTAGCTTTAACCTGAGTCAAAAATTCTCTATGCCAGCCCTCGACATTGTTGTTTGTAATGGATGTATTATTCTTGACTATAATAACAACTTCTATGTGGACATGTAGGTTTTTTTCTAACTCTTCTTTCCATTGTTCCTATCCACACATCTTCAATATAGTTAACTATATTTTGAAATTCCGCGCCCATCATATTATGTTCCATAATGACATTAAAAGCATGTATAATCAAATTTTCGGGAACAAATGCAATGGCTTGCAAAAGTTTAGCCTTAAACGAAAAATCAGTATCGCTATCGTATTTTTTTTAATCCACTTTTTTTAATTTGTCTGTAGAAGCATTGCCTAAAATGAAAGAAGCAGCCGTAATGCTTCGCAGAAGGGAAAATCAATTTTTGGGAATTCATTACAGCTATCTCTTAATCTGTCATTATTGCCGTTGCTCTTAGATTTTCATTTAATAGTTTCCTTATTTCAGAAAATACTCTAATATAAGTGCTTTCTGCTTTATTGGGCATTAAAATATAAATTAACGGTACCACTAACTTGTTTACTTGACCATGAATTACATAGAGTTGGTAAAATATGTTAGGCACAGTTTTGAATGTACCATCCATATACCAATACGTTGCATTTGACAATATGCGCAAATTTTCATTGGTAGCAAATATCAAGAACCTTTCCCCTGCATCACTGTCGTTATTTGCGGAGTCATACTGTAAAAATTGGTCTCCCTTTTTAGTTATTGTGTATGTTATCGGTAAGTTTAACTCGTTTTTGTCCTTTGGAAGGGCTGGGTAATTGTTTTCTCGTCTTCTTTTATTTCTGATCGTTCTCTTTATTTGTTTAAGCTATGGCTCCAGATATAATTCCTTGCGGAGTTTCTATAGATGACTTGACTTTAGTGTCTATTTTTCCCAAAACCTCTTTAACATCGGCTGCCTCCGGTTTTCCAGGATGACTATGTTCTCCTCTTACCTCATTATGTTTATTATCAGTCTTCCTTAGCATCCAGTTTTGAATTCTTCACATTTCCAGTAAAGCACTGCTCCTTTTTTTCTATCTTGTATGTAGAAGTAACCATCTATATACATAATTTTATTGCCAAATTTAGTTTTTAAAGATTTTATAACTGACATTATTGAAATAGTATTGTCATTACAAATATGTATACTATTATAACAGCACATGGTTACTATAGTTTTCAATTATACTTTAATAGAATTTTAGAACCTAGAAAACTATATTATAGAGTTAAAGAAAAATAGACACGTACATTATTGTGTGAAATTTACTACGTTTGTCTAGGAAGGATATTCTTTCAAATAAATTAGATATTCGAACAAAATGTTTTCGAACTAAAATACCTTTCGAACAAAATATATTCGAACTAAATAGCTATCGAACAAAACGGTTTCGAACTAAATAACTTTCGAACAAAATGTTTTCGAACAAAATAACTTTCGAACAAAATATTTTCGAACAAAATTCCTTCGAACAAAAAGATTCTAACAAAAATTTTCGAACAAAATTCCGCGACCCCAGATCTGTTACCCAGAAATTTACTATATAGTAAAAGTGGGGATATAACGCCATATTACAAGAGGTACTTTGCAAAATAAGAAGCCATTACCAATAATTGAGAACCTCTACCTATTTCTTACTATTCATCCATCTTCCTTTTTCTCTACTTTCACCATTTTCTACTACTGTTCCTAATGTTCCAATGTCTTTTGTTTAGGTCGCTTACACGTAGACTCCAATTTGCTCAAACTAAACGCAGAAGTAAAGAACAGCATCAACCCAGCTTTTAACTTCCACGTTAAAGGAGAGGTAAAAAAATCGCCTGACTCAACCGAAGTAGACAGCAATTGGCAGCTCATCCATGGTCAGGACCTAGCTTCAAAAACCAACATCATCACTGTTGTCAACAGCTTGGTCAAAAAACTGAAGAATCCCCACGATTTCACTATTGCCTCTAAGAACAAATTCACTTATCCTCTATTGGGAATTCACTTGGTCGCTGATTATGGACAAACGCTAAAAACTTTGGACTACAACTTTGACTTTCAATATAACGATATCAAATTCGGTACAGAACTCGATTTTGAAATTAACAAAAAGACTCACGGAGATTTCGATTTAGAATTCGAAATACACGGCTTGGAAAACAAGGTCGAATTCAAAGCAAACAGAGAAGTGCAAGAAGGAGAAAAATCTAAAATCGATAATGAATTGACAGTAAACGGAATGAAACTAGCAGTTAAAGGATTGATCTTACACAACATCAAACCATCGAACATCGATGTCGGCGCTGATTTAACAGTTGTTTTACCAACGCACCCTACACCTTTCAAAGTTGACAGCGGTCTACGCGTCAACCCCACCGAATTGGACGTTCATCACAAAGTAATCAGCGGCAACACTGTCGTAATCGACGCTTTCATCAAAGCTAATAAAAATGGAAACGCCAACGCCAGCATCAAAGTTCATATTAAAAACCTATTGGAAGTTAACGGTCAACTAAAAGCCGTTAAAGGAAGCGGAAATGCTCACGTTCAAATAGACGCACAGTCCATTAAGAAACAATTGAGGTTAGAAAGCACTTTCGACGTTCAACCTGGTACTATTTATAACATTGTTCTTACTTTGTATCCCAATCATGGTCAAGATAAAACCCAGAAACTTATTTTGTCTACCAACACTAAACTCAGCCCCACCAGTTTAGACTCGAAGAACAGCTTGAATCTTCTGGGAAAAGTATTGGAAGTAAACCTACAGGGCAACAAAAACTGGAACGAAGCCGACGGTAAACACAATGCGGAAATCGAAATCATCCTTCCCAACGACCAATATTTATTGGGTAAAGCCAATGGACACTACACCAGACACGGTGAAGCTTTCAACGGACAAGGTTTGGCCAGCTTGGAATACAGAAAGAATAAAAATAACGCTGGACGTAAATTGAGCTTGTCTTCTAACTACAAGAACGTCGATCCTAAAGCTGGATTATACGATATAACGTACAATATTGCCGCTGACGATGCAAACGGAAATAATATTAACACTGATTTGACGTTCAAGGTTCAAAAACAAGCAGAAAAACGTGTAATTGACACTTCAGTAAGTACTTTTTTTATTTGTCTACACAATTTATACGCCTTTTAAATAAATAACACAGCAAAATTGATATTTTGGTGCCTACGGTTTCATTGCCGTTAGATTTGGTCTATCACATCTATTTTTTGAGATACGCTTTATTAGCGTTTTTTTAGAATTAAATCATTTTATTTCAACCTACCCCATCAATTCATAAAAATGAGGAGGGTATTGTAATCACTCCACAATTTGAGATAATACCAAATCTTTGCTTCTTGGAGTCTTGGTACATATAAATAAAGTATAATAGGAAACCTCAAGTTTTCGACGGATTTTTACGTTATGGAGTCTCCTGAATTCGTTTTGACTATTTTCGCGATGATGTCTGTGTGTCTTTATTCTCGATAACTCTTCAAGCACGTCGTTAACAACAAAGTGTATCCGGATATTGTTATTAACGATGTGTTTAAAGAACACGTCGCAGTTTATTATACAGTGTGTTCCAACATTTTATAAACATAGGAAAAAGTTTTGTTTATAAAAAACATGAAACATTCTATGTAATACGAACTTTTTATAAAGAAAAATTGGTTTTTTAAAAAACAAAACTCTTTCTCATGTGTATAAAACTTTTTAGAACACACTGTGTAATAGAATGCGACGTGCTCTTATTATAAAGGATGTTCTAAGAAAATGTATACATATAGAAAAAGTTTTGTTTAAAAAAAAATCATGGAACATACTGTGTAATTTATTATCAAGTTTTTTTTTTTTTGGAGAAACAGAACTTTTTCTCATGTGTTTAAAACTTTTTAAAACACACTATGTAATGGATTGCAACATGCCCGTCATGCACGTCGTTGTCAAGAAAATACACTAAGATATTGTTAAGATATTGCTCGAAGAGCATGCCTCAATTTATTATACAGTGTGTTCAAAAAAAATGTTATACACATTGGAAGAGTTTTGTTTAAAAAAAAAAAAAATTTTGTAAAATACAGGTGGTATATAAGGAAAATCGAAATAAAAGAATAAAATGCTTTAAAATTTCAATATTAAACAAAATATTAATAAAAATGTAGATAGAAATTAAAATATTGTTACGCAGATTTCTGGTAACTCAATTTATTTCAACTCAACTTTTACAATAACTGAGAACAATAATGTATAACGCCTGTCATAAAACTCCAAAATTGACGTCAGGATCATCGACTTATATAGCTTGCTTTCTCCTTTTCGAACGTGGAATGACATTTCTCAAATATATTCCTGTTTTATTTTACTTGTACCTTTACTTATGATGACCGCAGCACGCTGCACGGTGCTGCGTAACTTTGCTTTCTTCTCTCTAGTTATTCGGCCCCGAATAACTTGATTACTGGAACCTGGTTGGAGCCAACGGAAAGGATCTGGATCACGATATGGCGTTAACTTTTCAATGTGAACTACGTTAGGTTTACTTCCCGCTGACAATTAAATGATATAGATTAGGTCGTTTGAGGACGGTGTAGGGGCCTTCCCAATTCCGTTGCTTGGGATTATACAGTCATAATGGATCGCCTCTCTAAAAATGTGTCCCAGTGGCATACATGTCGATTCCAGCTTTTGCTTTATTACTATTAAATTAAATTTAAATCGTTGTCGAGCTAATTCGTATACCTTCTCTAATCTTTCTCTTAAGTTCTGTATGTACGTGGGAGGTGTACGGCCCTCTTCCTCATCAGTAGGCTGTCTTCCAAAAAGAAGATCATATTGATCATATTGATGATGGTTGCCCGAAGAGTAACTTTATTAACCGGTTCCTCTCGTTCTCCGAGCCCTTTACTGTACCGGGATTCTCATTCCAAACAAGGTTGCCTGCAGATAATGTCTGCTTTCCTATGGAGACGGCCTCTTCGATGCTCCACTTCCTGGTTATTGCTAGAAAGCCGGCTAGGTGTGGGTGGCTTCTCCGGGGTGCATAGCTGCTATAATTATTTCTTGTTAGACTTCGTGACGGGCTTCGGAAGATTGATCTATGTAACTTTCTGGCCTTATTCCCTGATTCTTGATTTATAGAGCGAGCCTTGCTTCTATAGGTTCTTTGAAGGTGCCCGATTCTTCCGCAATCAAAGCATCTTCTGCTTCCATTTTGACTGTTTAGTTGCTTATTTTACAGGATATTTAAGATTTATGAGAGTTGGAGAATAGTATTAGTATTGGCCTACTCACTTTCCTGGGATTCAATATCTCTCACTCTTGCGCGAGAAGGTCTGGATTGGATTTTTACCACTTCATATTCTTGGGCTGCAATCAGTTTCTCCCTGAGCGTCTTGTGATGTTGTAGACGAAGGGCTTGCTGCATTTCCACATCTTGTAGTCCATCAATGAATACCTGTATTCTGATTTTTCTTGGAAATCTTTGGGCGCCTGTGGATAGGCCAGATGAATCAATCTTTTTATGTCGGCATCGAATTCTTGTAGACTCTCATTGTGTTTCTGACTACGAACTTTTAGCTGGTTTTGGAATACCTGTTTCAAATGCTGTTGGCCATACCTTGTTTCCAAAGCTTGGACGAGAGATGAATAAATGGGTTCCTCTTAGGGAAATAACTGTAAAATGGTTGCTGCATGTCCGCACAGCGACACTATCAATGAAAACACTTATTTTTAGGTGATTTTTATTTAATTTATTCAATCAAAAATAATAAAAATTTTATGCTTGATTATGGTTTTCCAAATGCTGCAGAACATTTTATCGAGTATCATTTTTTTGTTGTGAATTGTAAGATTTTTTTAAAAATGTTCAGATGTACGTAGTGAGACGTTTTTTGTTATAGTCTATTTTTATGTATGAGAGAGTATTAAAATAATAAAGCGTTCGTAATCCATAGGCGTACCACTTCTTTTAGTAGATAGTTAAAATATTTTTTGAAGTTATTCCTCGAGTATACACTTATATTTTCACCTAATTAACCTGCTTATAACTTCTAAACAGCTGAAGGTTTAGAAAAAAGTGCAATTTTTTCTAAAATGTTTTATTTTTCCACAAGGTATGTTAAGAACATTGTGTCAAACGGGTTATGTAGGTATAAGGGTTTAAACTTTGACTTTTAAACAACGTTACGTTCATAAATAATAATTTTAATATAAAAACTACTTCTTACCTACAAATCCAAATCAGAATCGAAATCAGAAGATGAACTGTCGCAACCAATATTTACAATGAGTGGCTCGATCATTTCATCAGTAATATTGTCCAACTTCCACATTTTCTCTTCTTCTTTAATCGTATGATTTACTGCCTTTTCCCAGTTTTCAGGCTTCACATTATTTACATCCTCCAAAAACAACTGTTTAACATCACTCATTTTAAAAAAATTATTTTTTCTTGAAACTTCTCCCTTTATCTGTGCCCATATCAGTTCAATCGGGTTTACTTCGCAATGATATGGTGGTGATCTAACCACCGTCATCCCACGATTTTTTGCAATTTCATCAATTTCATATTTTTTAAATTTCTCTTTATGAAGGGAACACAAATGATACCACTTGGTTGTGGGCATTTTTTCTAAAAGTCTCGAGTGATAACTTGCATTATCCATTTCTATTATACAGTTCTGAGGAAGAAGGTCTATAATTTGTTCGAACCACTCTTTAAAGACATCAGCATTCATGTCCTCATGGTAGTCACCGGTACGAGTAGATTCAAAAGTCAATAAACCACCTTTAACAAAACCGTTTGAACTACCGATGTGTACTATTATTAGTCTGCGCCCCTTTCCTGATGGTGGATTTAAACCAGTAGATAAATTATTTAAAAAAGCCTGTCTTCGACTTGTAACAGTTTCATCTTGCCAAAATTTATTTGGTTTATGTCCCTCGTTGATCCATGTTTCATCTAAATAAAATATATTTCTTCTTTGGTTTCTCATTTCTTTTATAGTCCTTAGGTAATTTCTTCTCCATACTACAATATCGCTTCTTTCTTGTTGTTGTGTGTTGTGTGAGAGATATGGCTTCGGACGGTGTCCATTTGCCACAGAATGTTTAATCGCTTCTTTCTATTAAAATAGACTTTCTGGAATGCTTTTTCCATAGAAAACCTATTTTTTTTTTAAGTTTCCATAGTGTGCTTCGACTCATTTCAGGGTAATCCTTATCATCTCGAAACGTGGCAAGAACTTTGTCTACTGTCGGAAATTCTTTTCTAAAGAAGAACGCATGCACTTTCCTTCGAAGTCTTTCTTTCAAAAGATTTTCTAATTGAAATTTTGGTTTTCCTGGAGCTTTATGTGCTGTTTGAAACTCGCCACATTTCACTTCTTTAACAACTCTGTAAATCGTAGATTTCCCAACACCAAGCGTACTACTAACTAATTCCACTGTGTCATCAACACTTTTACATAAATGTTTGTCTGTAAATGAATTAAAACAATTAAATATTAATGTTTTTTCATTAACTATTAAAGGGCCGATTTTTTGTCGTTTACGCGGTCCTTCCAAATTTTCCATGATCACACTAGAATTCACACTGCACCTTGCAAGTTGCAACTAAACGACATTTAGTAAACTGTCAAGAATACAAAACTTGGACCTCCTTACTAAATGGAAAACCTATAATCGCATTTTCGATGAAATTTGTTGGGAAGGTATTTATCTACTTATAATTCGATTACTGTAAGAAATTCTTGGAATTAAAATAAAACAAAATTGGCAAATAGGTACCTTTTGAAAATAATCTTAAGATACGGCTATGTAATCTTTAATACACAGGGCTTTTGGCCTGTCCAAACCTTTTTCTATTGTTCTGTACAGCTTATGTTTATAAAGGACCAATAAAAGACCCAAAACTTGTAATAGCTCAGGTACATTTATTACAATTTTAGGAAATATTTAGATTCTGTAAAAATATTTAAAATGACCGTACTAAATTTTGCATTAGAAATGCTGTTTTATTACTCTCTCATACATAAACATAGACTATAACACGATACAGCCTAAACTATCTTGTAGATTTCGATAGGATTTGAAATATAAGATTTCCTGAGGCCCCTAAAGAGCCGATTATATTTTGGGAATAGTTGGAGTAACTGCAGTCTACTTTATAGGGGGTTCGTTTTTGAACTTTTGGATATATTTCTGTTATTTATGACTGAAAAAGAAAATTCTTCAACTAAAAATTACCTAAAATAGACCGTAATAGAGATATTTGATGAAAAGTACAAAATCTGTTTTTTTGTTTTGAAAAGGATTTAACTTTAGTGGATAATCATGTGCAGCAAAATCAATAAAATTTTATTATTACCACTGCGTGCTCCAATTGCTAGTAAAAATAACAAAATATACAAAGTAATGTATCTATTTCCTAAACTAAATTAAATGTTCTTTTATAGAACTTTGTAGCACGAAGTTTACCACATCAATGTCGCTGAACACTCCAACAGTAGTCGGCCATCATGTGGCTATCCCATTTTCCTTAAAGGGTCACGCATAATATTCTATAACTTGGTATTTGATAATTTATTATTTCGATCACTTGATTTTCGATCAATTAATACTCGATCTTTTGAAATTTCAACTATATATTATTTGATCTTTTGGTTTCGATCAGATCTTTGAACCCAAAGATATTTTGTGTATCCATTTTGCTGTCCAAGGAGAAATTCTATCATTTTTAAATCGACACAAATCATTCATAGATGTTCGTCATATTTAATTTTTTTCAGTATTATTTATATTTTTTTATATTCCTCTTTCATACAAATCGAATAACTAATGAGAAATGAACTACCTTTTGATCTGTCATTAACACGCTGTTGGTCTGTTGTGCATTCTAATTCTAACAAAACCAATTTTTCTATGAGTCATTTTATATCCTTACAGAATACTAGGTTATATTCCTGAACGGAAAAGTGCAGTAACTTTTAATTTACGTTACAAGACCGGAAAGTAGTGTTTTGATGGTTCCTAAAGTCCATTTTCCGGTCTTGATCGGCAAAACGTTATTTTCTGTACGAAAAATTGTCCCAAAAGTAAATTTTCTGGCTTAGTCTTAAAAAAGGTTAATTACTTCAATTTTTGACTAGTTTTAAACCTACATTCTACTTTTCGGTTATGTTTAACGCATTCACTTAATAATTCCAGTGCAAAATTTACGGATCAGTCCTGAAACAACCAATTTCATCCAGTCTGTATTTCTCATACCTGAAAGGATCTGGTGAATATCGTCTCAGTTCTTCATACGGTCCAAACACTGACGGAAAGATCGGTGGAAAATACGACGTACGTGGAGGCGAATCTCCATACCTCGGTGAAATTGAACTCGATTTGACGTTGCCGAACCCTAGTTTGAAATCGTTGAAGACCAAATTATCTGGATCCGTGCTGGTTCCAAAAGAATACACTGATGAATTGAAAGTACAAGGTGCCGCGAGCGTTTTCGCTAAAAGTGATGTAAGTTTACTTAAGTTAAATTTATATAAGTTATTTTTATAGCAAATTATTTTTTTTGTTTAGTCTCAAACTTTGGTAGACTTCAGCTCAGATGGACAAGTCAGAGCCAGCGATAAAGATGGTGAACTCAAAGTAAGTATAGTAATAATGCATGTATTTAATTTTAGTTAATACTTCTACGTGTTTTGCTTAGTGTTTTGTTATTTCAGATGTTTTAATAAGGTAATCCCGCTGATAAACAAATGAAATATAGATAACTAACGGGCGCCGTTTCACATAGTCTTTGCACGGCATAAGAAACAATCGGCAGGCTCACTTGCCGCTGATCGCTTACAAATATTATACTAAGGAAATTTGACCTTGGCGACGCCATTCGGGGGTCTTAGTCAGGGTCGAATTAAAGCGTATTTAAAGATTTTGTAATAAAATAAGGTATTGATAGGCAGGATCGTATTAAAACAAAAAAGCTCTACAGATTGCGCCAAATAATTAGCTTGTTTTTATTGATAGTCTTAAAATTTCTATTAATATTTTTAAAGTGTAATATATGAGCAGCCTTAAATATAACTTAGGACCGATTCCACCTTTGTGTTAAACGAAGTTTAAAATGACATTTTTACATTAACAATGTCATTTTAATCTCCGTTTAACACAACGGTGGAATCGACCCTTAATAACATATATTTATGGAAATCGGGGACAAGGAGCGTCAAATGTTATCTCGAAATTAATTAAATCTAAAAAAAAAAATTCAAACGCCGGATTTAGTGATAAATAATTCAAAATTGTGTTGAAAAATTATTTCAATTTTTGTTATTAAACATATAAAACTATTATTTGACATTTTTAAATTGTCAAAAATATCTTTTTTGCTTTTTTTGTATGCTTTATAATAACAATACATGGAGCTTGTATCCAAGTCTTCGTGTAGTAAGGCATATTGTGTACATACATCGCAACGTTGAATTTTAAGACATTTTTTATTAAAAATCAGCATACATAATAACATTTTCTTAAAAAATATGAATATTTTGTGCATGCAATTCATTAATATGCTTATTTATATTTAAATTTTCTACAATATTGCCACCATTACAAGCAATTTTGGAAAATGGCTCATCCTTACTAGTCCTACGAATTTCATGCAGCCTTACAAGTAAAGCATCCCCACCTGTTTCCCAGTTTTCAGTTCCAGAATGTAATACATTTAAACTTTGCAATTTTTTGAACGTCCTTTGAAATTGGACCGATGTAAGGTTTACACAGTTACCATCATGGAGGAAGGATAATTAAGAGTTCAGCGACATATGAAAATCTATGCACATGGAATAGTTTTGTGCAATTAATACTCAGTCGGTAATATAGAAAGATGTAATGCTATTTTAGTTTGAAAATTGGCGGGCTTTTGAATTTACTTCGACAAAATATAAGAATTTTACATTTTTAATAGCACTGCTTAAGACACATGATTTTGATTGTATGTGACATTACTAATTTTTAATTTCCCAGCTAGCACAAAAACATCCCATCTACGTTAATAAGCTGCAATTTTAGGCTCTTTAAGCTCGCATGCAATGTACTGTTAATGTAACCCTATCATCCCTGCAACCACTGAATGTCCGCAACGGCAAGACTTTTATAGCACGTCTCACAGAAGTTAAAAAGTGAAGTTCGGAAAACATCACACTAGCACTTTTACGGTACTTACCCTGAAAGTTGCTCTGAAACTTTCTATAGATGTTATAATGTGAATTCATTCTACAGCATTATACAGTGTGTCCACGGATGGACTTAACAATACTTGTAAAAATATTTATTTTAAATTTAAAAGTACTTCTTCATAATTTCTTTTGCTTGTTAAATAAATACGATTAACGTTGAGAAATTATAAAAAAGATCTTTTGAACAATTTAAAATAAATATCTTTACAAATATAGTTATGTCCATCCTTGGATGCACTATATTCAAAATAGTATATTGAGGATATAGTAAAATCTGAAGAAAACAAAATAAAAAATTGTATAAATTTATTATTAAAAAGCTTTTGAAATCAAGAACCAATATCATACAAGTAGAGGTAGGTATTAATAATATAGGTAAAAAAAACACTGACAAATTGGACAAAAGTTGGTATAAAGGGTATATAAGGAATATCTCAAAGGTTCACTAGAATCGAAAACACTGAACGCTTGCACGAAAGAGTATAATAAGGTACCTATATTGCAAAGGTTCACTGGTAGCTAAAATGGTGCACGATTGTACAAAAGTAGTAAAAAGTGTATTTATATAAGGTATATTTCAAAAGTCACTAAATTTTTACTAAGATGGCAGTTGTAGGATGCTAAAAAAAGATATTTGCCTACAACTGGTACTAATCATAGTTTTAATATGATATAAACTGAATATTGATAAATGTAAAGTCATAAGGTTTAATAAAACAGCTAATATCATTATGCATGATTGTCATTGCAGGTTCTGAACTAAGTTTTGAGCAAACTATAAATGATCTTGATGTTATTTTTGAGAGGGACCTATAAGAGTTTGGAATGCAGATGTCGAGAAGCATCATTTGTTTTCCTGTATAAGTTATTGAACGGTTTGATTGATAGTGACAGCCTGGTACACTTTATTAGATTCCTTGTTCCTGCCAGACTTACTAGGCATATGAAACTATTTTATGTAAATGCTCATAGAACTAACTATGGACAGAATTTATTTGTAGACCAACTGATGTCCAATTACAATAAGTATTTTTCAAATTATGACATTTTAAAAGGTTTATTTTTTAAAGTGTCAACTTTTATTACACTATTGACTTCATTTTTATACTGTGACAATTTTATTAATTTCTTTTTTATTTTATTTTGATATTTTAACCATTTAGAACTTTATATATCAGTAGCGTACTGTAAACAAATAAATATGTGAACTTAATTACATAGTTTCTTCCGTAAAAATAACTTTGTAGATAATAAATTTACTTGTTTAATTATTATTAAGAAAATAAAAAATATGCTCGTTTAAATCGTTGCACCTATTTTTAGTTGATTTTTACTTACTTTGTTTTTTTAAATAAATAATAACATTTATTTTGACTTTTACAAATTTTATACTTAATAATGGATGTTCAACTTATACAGAACAATGTTTTTTAGCATGATATTCTGCTCTGAAAGAAAAAGAAATAATCTCAGATGTTATATATTCTTCTTCAACCAATTCTGTATTAACTTTAGCTTCTAAAATTCCTGAGATTTTTACTAGAATTATAATCCAGCCCAAAGGAAACCTAAAACACAATATTTTTAAAATTTATTTTTAGTGATTAAAATATTATTACACTAGGGCGACCATACTTACAGCAATTTTTCTGTATTGTAAAGCATTTTTAAAGTTTGTCCAGCAATTGGTATTGTGCAGCAAACGTACAGCAAAATGGCATAGGTATATATATCCAGTGAAATGCTGTATTTATCCACCAAAACGTCACTACTGTCCAGCAATGGTAATACTTAATTTACTGAAACGTAACAAATTTAAATGTTATTTATCTTTAGTGAACTACATGAGCACTTCTATACTGCGGTTCTAGCAAGAAAGGTTTTATCTGCAAAATTAGCAGTTTTTTTTATGTGCATTTGTCTACATTTTATCTTTCTCGATACTGAAAAGGAATGTCTTATTTGTAACAAAGGTACTAAAATGTTAAAAAGTTACACAAAAAAAGGTTTAATAGATAATAAATATAAATTTTCAGATAGGACTTCTCTTGTTAGGATGGCAGTATATGACTTCTCTGTTTTTGTATTTTTATAATTGGGAGTAGGGTTGAGTATCGGTCAAAGGTATCAATACCGGTATCATGTGAGATACTTTGTGGTAGAGGCATCGATACTGTTCGATATTATGTTAAAGATATTGATATTTATAAGTCTCGAGTAACAAAGTATCGAAAAAGTAAAAGATTTTTGTTAAACGGCTGGCAACCCCCATTAAACAGGACGGAGTAGGGAACTTAACTAATAACAAGAGTGCATCAGTAAAGTATATTCTGTAGTCGACACCTTTTCTTTCTCTACTGGTACTCTACCTGGTACAAGTTATAGTGTCAATAACTGGCAATTTACCTTATAATTAAATAACAAAAAAACAGTGGTAACGCTTAATCATATTACCAAGTTTCACCACATGCAAAAACTAAAATATTTCAGTACAAATATTTGAACAAACCTTATAATCTCTGACCACACACATAGCGATACAATACTTGCTTCTAAGTATCACTATGGCGATAGTATTGGTAATTCAGTAATTCAGTGCCTAAATATCGATACTTTCATTGTTTAATATCGTTACTTCTATAGTATTAAGGCATCAATAAGATCCCTATTATCGTGTAAAATAAATATTTCATCATTTAATTGTATCTACTTGTTTACAATGATTTATTTTTGATTGTATTTGGAAATTGAAATTTTGCCATCTAAAACAACAAACAATAAATTAGAAAATTAGAAAATTTATTGAAAAGAAGAAAACAACTTACCAAACTTATTCAAACGTATAGTTTCCGATTTCTTTAAAATCTGAAATACGTACAAGAAAAAGTGACAAGTGACATTTTTTTATGTTTTGTTGTTTATGACAAACGAATGGCTACGTTCGAAAGTCCATAGTACTTCTCGTGGAAACTTTTTTAGCAAGTTACTTAATTACGTTGTGTTATCATAACAGGCAGGTTAAATACGTAAGTAACAAATAGATGTTTCGCGAGGTTTTGATTTCCCTCAACAACTTCTCATTAACGTTGCAATTACGTTGTATGGGTATGTTATTATGTTCCCTTAAAACAACATCGCCGAAAGGCTTGGTAACGTTATGTGCTAGCTGGGTTACTACTTATAATTTCTTTAATGGCTAATTAAGATTTTCTTGCTTTTTTTAATGAAAATACTTTAGATTTATCAAGATTATAAGGCTTTGTTATTCGCATATCTAGAATAATTATCAAAATGAATATCAGAATTACATTTTTGTTAAGCATTTCAATATTTGGGAATAACACAATTACGATTAATATTCATTATTTTCAAGAAAAAAAGTAATTTCTTACAAAAAAATTCTGCTTGTTGAAAAAAATTACAAGAATAAGTTTCCTTTTAAAGTTATGAAGGAAAACCGACTGGAAAACTGTGACTTTTCTTCGTAAAATCAATAGGTAATACAGATTTTTTCCTTTTGTCAATTTTAAGTTTTATTTATTAAGACCATGTACACCTGACCTAACATATTAATATAGTAAACCTATTTTTCGTCAAACAGAATTTTTTTATAATGACTTTTTCCTTAAAATAAAAATAAAGATTTTCCTTTTTGTCAACTCCATACGGGAGATGTTTCAAATATAACATTTTACTTTAAATCTTAATAATATACCTACATAAGTAAATATAAATTGACGCTAAACTTTACGTGACGTTAACTAGGCACCTACCTACATCTTATTAATAGGTTTATAACTGACAAACTGACCCATGACCTAGGATTGTTTTAAAAGTATACCATACATACCTACCTAATAGGATCTTTAAGAAACCGAAAAAATCTTTTAATACAGTTTATTCATATCGTTTTTTGCTGCGCAGACATAGTAAAACACTTAAAAGTTAACAAATTAACACTGGAAAACAACTACTATATAAATACTGTCAAAAAATATCTATAATTCTAAAAAAATAATAATAACTACATAATACAAACATCACAAACAAAATAAATTTAAGATACACGCTACTGATTCCGAGCTGCTGCAACTTGTTTGTTTTTGTGGATATAAACGACGACAGTGACGCCACTGGCTTGATTGAGAGGTTGGACTCCAAAATGGCGGTGTGCGCGTAGATGTGCGCGTAGCGTTGCCGCCAAGACAAGTTAGCCTGCCGATTGTTTCTTATGCCGTGGTCTTTGATTAAAGCCAGTATCTACGAACTTTTGACAGCTGTGATCTCCATGGGCATATCAAATAGTTTTTTATCAGAATCCAAAGTATTATTTTGTAAATATTTTGTCAGGGACAAATTTAAAAAAAAAATGCATCTAAAACGAAGGTTGACATTTATTAAATTTTAGCATAACCTTTTTCTTAGAATTTAGACTCTTTTATAGATGTAATCTTTATATATTGAATAACCTATTCTATAGCTTCTAGAACAATGTTGATGGAACATCTTTAATTTTCTGATCCAGTATGTAAAAATTATAATTATAAATCTTTTCTAGACTCTGTCTTTCACTATATTTAGTAGGAAGAAAATTTACCCTAAAAAGAATTCATAACAAAATCATAATTTAAAAAATGTTTCCAATATATTTTAGTGTTCTTGTTAATTTTATCAACTTCAACCATTCCTAATTCTAGGTTTTGAATTCAAATTTCCATTGCTTGTTGCTACAAAGTTTGTAGGAAATCTGCGTAAAAAATTATTAATAATATTCTACAATATACAGGGTGTCCCGAAATTAGACGGTCATATTTTAACAGCGTGATCTACATCCTAAAATAAGAATAAAAGTTCATATAAACATAGGTCCGAAAACGTTTCGTTTTCGAGATACAGGGTGTTACAAGTGAAGTCCTGATGGCCTATTTTTGTAAATATTTTTTAAAATTTCTTTAGTCACCGGTTTTCCAAAGTAAAAAAAAATTAAATTTCTGATTTCACAGGCCTACTAATTATTGTTTACATTTTCGAATAACTTATCATGAAATTTTCAAATGATTTTTTCTTGAAAATGGTGCGTCCTAGCGAGATGCAACAATAGTAACTTTATTATATAGAAAACATTGATTTTCCAAATTTTATAGTCAAAAATGCTAAAAACTGTCAACAAAAAAGCCCCCCCTAATTTACCCACCTATGAAGATGATCAAAAACTGGAATTTAGTCCAATAGATAGAGCGTAAAAAGGTTAGCATTTGAACTAAATTTCATTTAGTTATCTTTAAATGTTTAGAAAATATTTACAAAAGAGTGTCATCAGGACTTCACTTTTAACACCCTGTATCTCGGAAAAGAAACGTTTTCGGACCTATGTTCATATGAACTTTTACTCCTATTTTAGGATGTAGATTATGCTGTTAAAATATGACCGTCTAATTTCGGGACACCCTGTATATATGTACCGCCAATGTTTTTTTTTTATTTTCTTACCTTTGAAACGACGTGGAACGTGAAAAGACTTACAACCACATACTTTGATTACTATACGGTGCAAGAGAGACGTCCGACACGCACAACATTGGGCACGGCTATTTTGATTCCTATGCCACAGTTTATAGCTAAAGAATCAGATCGCTCACTCTGCGTCGGCACTTTTGATCTCAATGTTCCAATTTATACACTGCGCAACTCGGATAATACAAAATATGACAACCGCCTATAATAAAACAGCAGTCTTCTGCGTATCCTGAATTTTTATCCCAGGAGCGGATTTTATTTTGGAACTTTCAACTGGTCCGAGTGAGTTAACTGATTCTTTAGCAATAAACTGTGACTCCAAAAATAATATTCACTGACACTGACAGCAGCAAGCAAAATATCATCAGGTGCGTTTTAAGCATCCGCTTTTGCTTCCGGAATTGTCGGTTTAGTCGTTTTAACCTGTCAGATTAAAACGCACCTATTAAAAATATTGCGCCAAGATGTAGGCAACACGTAATAAGGTATCATAATGGAGGAGTTTTCTATCTCCTTTTAAAAGGCACTCAGAAAGCTGCGCAGTGCGACCATTCTCCGTATACTTAAAGAAAATCAAAGTATGTGCTTACAACTGACAAAATTTGTTAAAAAAACATTCTGGAAACTCTAAAAACTTTAAAAATATGTCCTGGGAATATAAAATCACACAAAATGTACAAACAAAACTGACAGTTTCCAAGTTTTTGTTGACAGTTGTGTGTAAATTTTGGCGCTGCTAGTTAAAACCCAGGAGAAAGAGACAGTAATAGAAAAAAAGGTTCGTACTGCCTTCCAACAAATCCAGACCGTTAGTTATCTATTATTTACTTATTTTATCTGATGGTAATCCAAACAAAATAGTTGCTTGATGAAGACGATAACAAATTTAACGTTAAGTCAATTTTTCTGTGATTGAATTGAAACATGTTGAATGGAATGTAAATATGTACAAAAACAACTTGATTACCAGTTATTGTAATATACCGTTATTTTCAGGGAAATCTTAAATCAACCAAACTTGGACCCGTATCTGTAATAGCTGGATACAGTCAGAAAGAAGAAGGTACCAAAAAGATAAGCAACGGAAACGTAGCCTTACAATACGACGGCAAACATCTGAAATACGAAGGATCTTTAATTAGACTCAACGATAACGAATACAAATTGGAAGCAGACATCGAGACACCGTTCAACAACTTCAAGAAAAACTCCATTAAAGTTCATACCAAGCATTCAGAAGACGGTAAAGGCATTACGAGCAAAATCGAAGCCAGTCACGATGGCAAAAAAGCCGTCGTTGATACCGAAATTAAAGCCTCAGACATCGCACCCTTACTAGACGTTAAAATCAACTACCCCGACATCAAGAACGTTGTTATTCACTTAGATGCCAACAAAGTTAGCGACAAAGAATTCGGAGTTAACTACAAAATGTTATTAGAAAAATGCGATTTCCTACTAGAAGGTAGCTTAGATGCTAACTTAGCAGACATCGAAAATTTCTACGTAAAAGGAAACATCAACTCCCCCAAAATGGACATGGATAAGATCACTTTCGAAGCCAATAACAAACCAGGCAAAACAGGCAAGAGAATCCAAATCAACATTAAATCCGCTGGAAAAAATATGGTTAGCGGCAGCACCTCTTACACGGCTCACGAAGAACACGGTAAATACATCATCGAAGGTTCGGGATCCCTTAAAGTCAAGGAAGAAACCAAAGCGGCCAACTTCAAGTACATTTCCCAACAATTGACTCTGGAGAAGAACGGCGAACAAGGTTTAGAAGTTTCCTTCGATGCCGGAGTAGGAGATAAAGCCATCGATGTCGAAGTCAAGGTTACCAACAAGCAATTCAGAATTTCTAACTCGTATTGCGAAAAGAAGAAGGAATGTGCGCACTTCGAGTATGATTCGAAAATAAACCAAAATGGTAAGCATGGGTTGTATTAAATTTATGTCAGCAAAAAGAGATTTGTTTTTGGTACAAAATTGTTTATTTAAATTGCAAACCGTTTTTAGCATAACGCCATCATCAGTGCTCCTCTACAAAGAATTGTTGGTGTAAATATATGATTTAAAAACATGTAAATATAAACAAGAAATTAGAGTCACAAAATTAATTTAGAAAAAGATTGTTGGAGACTTAGGGCACAAACTCTTAATCGTTCAAATAGAACCTCAAGAAGCATGTGCTTGTGTAGAGATAAGGGTTATGCCTCAATCATTATCCAACTTGAATTGTGTTTACAGTTAAAAGACAAATAAAAATTAAAGGAGAAAACATGTGATGAATCCAAATTGAAAATTAGTTTGAATTTAGAAAAAAAAAAATGGGAATGAATCATTAAAAATACGTAATGTCTCCACAATTTATCCAAAAAGTCATCCTTATTCCTAACATAAAAGTTTGGAGTATCCCACTTTGCTAAATCTTCGTAGTTATTTTAAATATTTGAATTTATAAAATTATACATAAAAAATCGAACCGTTCTCTTATAAATACCCACTCGTGTACCAAACCTAGTTAATAAATAAGTTATTGAGGAATCTAACAGAACGACCAGTTTTTTTGTGCAAAAAAATTGTCATATTTCACACATCTGTCACGATACACGCTTGTGATATAGGTATTTTAATGATGAGTTAAAACGTAGTAAATTTTTTTATTTCTTGACATTAAATCTGTAGGCTGGCTCAAGAACTATATGGTGCTTATCATCTTAGGAGGATACACAATAGACCTAGTAAGGCATAAGTGCTGTGGGACTAATCCACCTTTCACACTTTACAGATACATGGTCTTTTTATAAAGGTTTTCTCATCTGCTTGTTTTTATACATATTATAAATATTTGATGTGTTTTTTCCAAATCCAGTCATTTATGAAACTATGCTTTTCAGTACTCGAAGGTTTATATCTGGTTTTAAATCTGTATCTATTAATTAACATTTAGTAGCATTTATTTCTGTTATTAGTTGTATTAGTCTATTGAGGACTACTTTATCTTTGTGGAAACTGGTGATTACCATTTGTTCTTGCCATTCTCTTTTTATTTCTTTTTTTTACATTTCTTTTAAGTATACATAACCTATGGGTTTTCTTGCAATTTCTGGTGCTTTTGTTAACGCTTGTTGTATATCAGAGACAAGTCATTGTGCTTTCGTTTTTATAGGGCATTTGGTTTAATGCTAATACCCAGTCAGTTTTTTTATTAGACCTACACATTCTTCAAAGTTTTTGAATTAAGTTACTACTATTAGTGGTTCAATTTTTCTTTTGCCTTTCAAATCAACAGCATTTAGATGATCGTTCTATATTAACAATTTTGGTAGTTACAATATTTTTGGCGCCCAACGTGGGGCATTTTTTAATTTCTGACTAAATTGTTTAATATTTTTATCGCAGACGCAGACAAATTTAACCACGTTTTGGAAGTAACAGTCGATCTGCGTAAACTCGGCATTAGAAACGAATTTGGTCTTAAATCAGTGACCACAAGAAACAACTACGTCCTTGACCACACCGTTGACATCCACTTCCAAAGCCCCGAAAACAGCAAGTACCAATACAGCGTCTACCTCCATCCTCAAGAAGCCGGAGTCTCTCTTACCACTCCCAAGAGAATTATCGCGCTAGAAGGACATTTCAAAGGACCCAAAAATGTAAAACAAGCCGGAGGCAAACTATCTGCCGAAGTAGCGTTCTACCTCGATAAGAAGAACCATCCTAACCAGAAGGCTGCTGTAAATGCTTGGGTGTCCGCTGATGCTCATAAATCTAAAGGAAGTCTTAATGGAGAAGTTAAGTTTTCCCATCCTGGACTTCAAAGGGTATGATTATTTTTTTAAATAAATATTTCAATATGCTAATAAGTTTTTCCTTTTACAGCCCTTATCTATTTCTGTCCAATCCACTGGAGCTGAACTAAACAAGCAAGGTTCCATTGTATTAACGATTGATATCTTCGCTCAACCGAACCAAAAGATCGTCTCTGAATACAAAGTACATCCAAATGTAGACACCCAAAAGTCTCACTACACTTTTGAATCGAGTGTGACAGTCAAAAGCAGCGGTCTCGGTATCGATATCGTGACATCCGAACAAATGAACGTAGACAGAAAAACCTATTCCGGAGAATACAACGGTAGAGTCAAATACAATGTTGGAAAATCAAATTACGACAGTCAACTAATACTTAAAGGAGGCAAAGGAGCTTCACATTTGTTGTTGAGATTACTTAACGTCGTTATTGTTAAAGTGGATAACAAGTATACTCACAATAAAGAGGAACTGGCTGTCGATTCTGAAATTGTTTCTTTAGATAACAGACCCGTTGTCAGTCGTTTGGAGATCAAGAGATTCAACACCGCCGCTTTTACAGTAGGATGGAAAGGTAAATATTAACAAAACACTAACAATTGGTAGATTCCTGCTACGCAAGTTCTGTTACCAATGTAATATTTTTCTAGACACTCCCAAATCGAAAGTATCACTCCACGCCGGACTAATTCCCGGACAAATCGCCGATTTACGTGCCGACCACATCACAGGATCCGGCAAAGTCAACCTCTACCAAGTAACTCTTAAACTCGACGACGCTCACTTCCTCAAACCCGATTACAACATTAATTCCAAAGCAATCGAAGTCGTTCTCGGCAAAACGAAGAACCAAATCCAAGCGCTTCTCAAGGCCATCGAGGACACCGGAAAAGAATTTAACAAAGATATTCGCAAAGAGGCCGGCCAGCTGTCGGAACTCACCAGAAAAGCTTCACCGAACCTGCAACCGTTAAAACAATTCTACGAATCAGAATTGCAGAAATTCAAAAACGAAATCATCGAAGATAAGTCGTTGCTGGAATTCGGAGAACTCATCAAGTCGATCATATTCGCCGTAACTGACGTCGGCAGCATTATCGTTGTAAAAGTTGCTGAAGTCGTCGAAGCAGTTGCTCACGCTGTTCAAACTGTTCTAGTCGCTTTCATCGAATCAATCGAGAAACACATCATTCCAGCATTTAGGGAAGTTATAGAAAGGATCACTAGTATCGTTGTTGACATCGTTAACACTTTGGTTGATATCGCTGCTACGATTTTAGCTTCTATCAGTCAAGTTGTTGAAAAATACCAACCGGAAATCAAACAAATCATCGCTACGTTCGGTGAACTCAGTCAAGATATTGGAAGGTTCATTCAAAAAGCTTATGAACAAGTTAGAAAGATTATCTCCAATTTGTACAAAAAGATCGTAGAAGAACTTAAAGCTATACCAGTCTTTGAAGAACTTCAAGCACAATGGGAAGACGTAAGTATTGCTCAAATCTGTTAATTTGGTTATAATCATTGTGGTTTTTCTTTGTATTAGTTTGTAAAGAATGGCCTACCTAACGTTGAAGGCGTTATTGGTGGACTCAAAGAAGTTGCAGCTACCATCAAGGATCTGATTCCACCCGAAATTCCAGTGTCAGAAGAAATGATCGAAGTTATTGACCTAACAGTTGATTATATAGAAAAGGTAACTAAATTTTTTGAAATCGATCAAAGATGGCTCGAAATCTTTAACTTTGACTTTTATTGCAGAAAATTAAACAACAACCTGTCGACGATATAGCGTTCTTGGACAAATTGATCAATATTTACATCAAATTGGGCAAGAAGATTTTGAATGTTCTTACAGCTTCAACGGCCGACTTGCAACAACCTCAATTTTCTCTTTCATTGGACTTCTTCAAGAAACTACCCAAGCTTGTAGCTGTCAGATTCTCCCCAATTGACTACCTTCTTAGAGAAGATCCATCCAAAGATGTCGCTAAGTTTGCTTTATCTCTTTTGAACAATCCAAGGCAATGGGTACCACCCTTCCCACGTAAGTACCTTCTTGACTGCACTAAGAACCAACTTTATGAAGAGTATGTACATTTATTTTTCTTTTGCAGTATTTGGACAAGTCGCTAGTGCACATATCTTCACATTTGATGGAAAATACTTGAACTTACCTGCCAATTGCAAATATCTTTTGGCAAGAGACGCCGTAAACGGAAACTTTACTATCGTCGGTACCTGGACTAATGGACGCATCAGTGCTATCACACTTGCCGACCATCATGATTCAATCACTGCTAACAGTAATGGAAAAGTAACATTAAATAACGGTAAGTCTAATTTTATGGTATTTATTAGTATTTTATTACTTTTTTCCAAGTAAAATGTCGTTTAAATATAATTTTTCTTCTTTTACAATTAAATATCAGTATTATTAATATATTTACATGTTTGAATAAAACTTTTTCTACACCCGTATTATAATAATGCACTTATATGCCCATAATCCGTTTCATAATGATACCCATTATGATACAGATTTTTCATTACGATACAGATTTTTCATTACGATACAGATTTTTCATTACGATACAGATTTTTCATTACGATACAGATTTTTAATCAATAGAAACCTACAATTTTTCAATCAAGCATGCTGTTTGACGTTTGTCCTAGGTTCCTATGTATTTGTTTTAGTTGTCAAAACGTATTAAATTTTGGTAGATAACTAAACTTCGTTAATTATAATATTAAAATGTCTGATATCAGCGATATAGAAGACTCCTCCACACATATCGGAGAAAGCAGAAAATACAGTACAAAATATTTTGCCGCAAAAATCTAGGGAAATACCAATACCCGAAGTAATACCATTAATTACAATTTTGTAGAATTTTTTATAGAAATACACGAGTAATTATTGTTATTGTGTTCAATACCAATATGAATATAATATTTATAGTTCTTGATTATTTATCGGGTGTAAAAAAAATAGCGTATGCAACTCTCATGTAATGGTTATTAATACACTCGCATAAACCATACGAAACTCGCCTTTGGCTCGTTTCGTATCCCGGTTAATGCTCGTGTATTAATAACCATCATTACATGATCGTTGCATAATATACTATTACGTTCCTCCAAGTACATCATCTTCAGATTTTTAATTGTTTGTGCAGCTCACGTTGAACTACCAGTCCGCAAAGGAGAACTACAAGCCTACTTGACTTACGAATCGATCACCATGAAATCTAAGGCAGGCGTCAAAGTTTACTGTGCACAAGATTTGCGCGGATGCACCTTCTATATCTCAGGCTTCTACCACGCTCAACTTAAAGGTCTTTTAGGAGTAGGTAACAACGAGCCCTACGATGACTTCACTATTCCTAACGGCAAAATCGTAACGTCTGAAGGTGAATTCGGTAATTCGTACAAGATCGGTAACTGTCAACCAGTTGTAGTACCAGCTCCAGTTGCTAATAATCCAGTTTGTGATAAGCTTTTTGGATGGGACTCATCTATGAGGTTGTGCTATCCGTTTGTTGATGTCGATCTTTATAAGACTGCTTGCGCCCAAGGTTTAGCTGTTAATGCACCAGATACGGAATGGCAAGCCGCTATTGGTTATACTATCGCGTGCTGGCATCACAACATTCCAGTCAGCATTCCCGCACATTTAAGTAAGTTGTTCACCAAAAATTTGTACTAAATCTACGTAAAAAATCTATGATTAACAGTTCTTGCAGTAGTTACTGCTTTTTTGACAGGACTTGGTTTAAAAAATTTTTTGTTGCACTTTTCAGTGAAATGTACCAATGGCGCAGAAGTTCGTACCCTTGGCGATAAATTCAGTGTAAAAGTCCCCGGAAAAGCTGCCGATATCATCTTATTGGTCGATACTATCAAGTCCAACGAACCAGTCTACAATGATTTAGTAAAACCCCTCGTTCAGGAAATTACCAAAGGACTAGCTGCCAAAGGAATCAAGTAAGTATATTTATTGTATACTATTGATTGTAGGACATCTTCTGCAATAGTTTGTTAATGAGTGTCTCAAAGAATTGGGTATTGATATGATCGAAACTGATTGGGTTTCATTTTAGCGACGTCGAATTCCATCTCATCACCTACGGAGGCGAAAACCAATGGCCCAGCCATGTTACAGTCAATGGAAAACTCACATTCAAAGGAAAAGCACCCGAAATAAAATTCTCAGAAGCACCCAAAGACGATTACTATGGCGTGGAATCCTTGGAAGGTACATTAAAAGACATCCAATTGGCTTTAGGACTAGATCTGCAAGCTAGAACTTACAGTGAAGGATACGGCTATCCATTCCGAGCTCATGCAACCAAAAGTATTGTGGCTGTTACCAGCAGACCTTGCGAAGTAGGAAAGCTATTCCCAGTAAGTTTCGAGTTCTGTTCTATTTATTTGTTATCCCAAACTTAACAGCAGATCTAATGTGGATATCGTTTGATCATTTTATCTAGTAGAATTTATAGAGTTTGTTTTTATATTTTATCAATGATAGTAAGCTAGTTACTCATGGTTCCTGACAAAGTCTAACCTATTTGATGATCAAATCTGGATGGTCTGAACCGCAAACTTATTGATGAATAATTATTTTCAGTTGCAGAAACTTAGGACGCTACTCTTCAAAAACAATCAAATTTCACTCACATTGGTTACTCCATTCGAAGGACTTAGCGTCAAAGATCCCAAGAAGACTAAAGATGTTATTGGATTCAATGATGTTCATGTCTTTACCGTATCTCAAGGCAAGAAAAAGCCCGAGGGTTCAGCTGAACTCTACAAGGATCTTCAATACAACGACTACTGTGTAGATTTTACTCTTAAGGTATGTATGAGGGCAGAGTCGAAAAAGTCAAGATGCGAGTTGGAGCCAGAATATTTTTCTATAATTTTAATTAGTTTCCTAAAAATACTGGATGTTGTTGCCAATTGTCATGGTATATATAAAAAGCACAGAAAAAAAGTCAATAATAGTACCTATTTTAACACGCCGAAGCAGCACGATTACTTGGCTAGGTGGCGATTTGCCAGGGACGTATCCAGAATCAATTGGTATCATAGATATATAACCAAGACAGATAGGATTATTTACAAAATTTTTGAAGAATGAACGGTGGTGTCCGCGGTAGAAACTCAATAATCGGATTGAACATTGATGCCAAGTTTACGTGCTTTTAACTATAGATATATATAACCAATACAGATTACACAATTTCTGAAGTCAACGCGGATGATCCTCGACAGAAATGCAATATTTGGATAAAATTAAAATATTGATGCCAAGTTTGCGATGTTTTTAACTGTAGTAATGTTATTGCGTTTGCTCGAATTACTGTTAGGTCTTTAAATTGTCCAAAAAAAAATAATGTCTGACAACAGCGGAAGTTGAGTAGACAGCAATTGTGGAGGGCCGTATATTGTTTCATTCATAAAAATTCCTTCGATACAGTACTAGTCCAGGAGCCAGTGAATTTTTTCGTACTTGTTTTCCCGGTCCGTGTATATTTAAATAATCTATTCCCGGTGAACTGTATATTTAAAATGGAACGCCAATCTATTAACAAAAGTAAGCCAGATTGAATTCGCGCATTACGTCACATCGATACAAGTGAGATTGTTTACAAAGTGCCTCTGTAGGCCTATTTTGCCCATTTCATGTATTTGTTTTTAAATCATGTTAAATTACTATTTTTGAAACTCAACAAGGAGAAAATCCAATTAACTCTTTCGTTGTATATATATATAAGATAAATTAACTGAAGTTTTATTAGTAAAGTATTAATACTAAAATTTTAATGTAATTTACAGAAAATAGCTAGGTATGTATTTGTTTTTAAATAATTTGATAATTTATGAAAAAAGGGAGTAAAAGTGGAATGACCAGTGGCCAGTAGGTCAGTCAATACAAAGTATCATATATTTCTATTATAATATAACTAAAATACCTACATCTTTTAATCATAAGGACATAAGTTAAAAACCATTTAATATATGCATTAGAATGAAGTAATAATAACTTAAAAAAACGAGGTCTTAAAGTAATAGCTGGTACAGCATGTTTTTTAAACGTTTCCTCATTGCTGCTAGAATGAAATCACTATGAAATGTGCTCTAAAAACGGCATTTAAAGCAGTCAGTGTTCAGTCTTAGGATCTCTTCCTAAAACCCTCATCCAAGCTGCATACATATTAAAAAATAATTAAAAAAAAACATATTATATACCTATATAGTTTTCGGTTCTGGGTGCCCTAAAAGAGGATACTTAGCCGACAATTTGGCTCAGATAGCTAAAACCCAAAAGTCACACCCCGAACCAGGACGTATTGCTATCCTTTTAAGTAAAAATAACTACAAATAACTTACCTGAAAAATGAAGGCGTCTAACTTTACACCAAAAAAACCATACACTTTTTCCCATTGTTGCAAGCACCCGATGACGACTAGGTAGATATCAACTAGAAGCATGGTTATAAAGCTTATTTTAACACAAAAAGAATAAAGCACTAGTCGAAAAGCAGCAATCAAATATAAATAGACCACAATATTAAAATTCAAATTAAAAACTATATAAAAGACAAATACTCTAAAAGCGCAAAATATCAGAACCAAATAAAATGAATAACCATAATAACCTAAAAATCACACTAAAATTGCAAAAACTATTACTGTAAAATCATGAGATTACATCAATAATGCATATGCGTCGGAGTATCGCAAATGTCAAAAGTACAGTGTTTCCATGAAAATTTAGCTATGTTTTTAGCAGTATTATAGGACCATTTCTACCACGCGCATCCAACGATATTGGCGTTCCACAGTTCACTGTATTTTCCTCACACCTCTAGTATAAATGATTTGACATAACGAAACTAACAATAATTATAATTATTTCCCAATTTTCTTCTGTAATATCTTCAATTATTATGTTTAATTTCTATAAATAAACCAACTGGTTAGGTGAAAGTTTGTGATATAAGATTTTATTTATGTGTCCTATGCATACACTTTAATATACAAAACATCTGGAACATTCTTTAAATAATTGTGGTCGTAGAAATAATTGTGTACATAACTCGTTTGAAAATGTATTTTATGCACTTGCCAAATATATTATCCATACAGATTAATCAGACTATTTTTTTACTTAACTTCAGTACATCTCTTACTACTAAAACTATTTTTATCAATGGAAAAAAAGGGCCGTGTTCTCGTATGTTTTGACGCATTTTCGGCCTCAGCCCATCGTATCCCCCCTCTAAATATATATGAATTTTGCTTAGAATTGCTAATCCTACAATTCTCTATTCGTGCTTGCTGACTGGGAAAATAAATACCGAAAATCGTCACTGTCTCCTGGACTATACAATAGATGATGAGAACTTCACAACAAATACACTTTTATGAATGGCTAGTTGGGGATGTGATTGGTATAGCGTTATACTTTATTTTTTATTACACGGAATCACTGGGACTCCATTCCATAAATAGCCTACCTAAACTCCACCGTATATACGCCAATGTATACACCGTTATTTGTAAAGACTAATTCAACTATCATTAGTTGGATAGGTCAACGCAACGTCCACTATATACATTTAATATACAGGGTGGACCAATCTTGTGGAAAAGTTCGATATCTTCCTAGTTGAAAGAGATATTAAAAAAGTGTATTAAGAAAATTATGGACAGGTTCGAGGTTATTTGAAAATTATTGGGAGGTATACAGGGTGTTGCATAGCTCGTGTACGAACCAAACATATGTTTTTTTTTTAATGATAACCCCAGTATATTATTTTAGATTCTGTTCACTCATCTTTTTTCCATTCTTCTAATATATGGTTTGTCTATGTTATATAGGGTACTTTTCAAGGAATTTACATTTTTGTGAGAGAATCGTACATAATTCAACGTCCAGCAGCCAATTACACTGTAGAAAAAAAATTTTTTTTTTACCCTCTTGAATTTTATATGATGTATTATAGTTATATTTTTATTATCTGTTTATTTGTATACAGGGAGACTCAATACTCAGACCCTTGATTTTCTTGTTTTATTTAAATGGAACATCACCAGTTAAATCATCTGTTCCAAGTCTTTCATTTTTTTGAAGCATTCCCTATACTTAAAGTTAATATTTATCGATATTTTTTAACAATTAATGAAAATTATGGTTATTTCGATGAATTAAACTAGTTTTTCATAAAATACTCTTTATAAACAATAATAAATATTATGTGTTATTTTTTATCTAGTCGCCAATGCATTTAATATACCTGTCACCGTCCAGTTCACAATTTTGACATTTTAAAAATTAAGAGCAACTACCTGTGTGTTAATGTTTTAAGTAAATTACTAATAATAATAAATGGAGGTTTAAATAGGCATAATTTTCACTATTATTCTACAACAAACCCACACATTATAGTCACTCATAACCAAATGAGGTGGTCATTAAATGTTTGGGGTGGCATTGTGGGTGATTATGTGATAAGGACGAGTAAATAGTGAAGTATATTTAGATTTCCTTGAAAATCATTTGCCTACGTTACTCGAAGATGTTCCCAACAAATGTGGTTTTTGCACGATAGTGCACCAGTCCATCACACTGTAGTAATTCATAATTATTTAAATAATCACTTTCCAAGACGGTGGATCGGAAGAGGAGGACTGATAGGGTGGCCAGCGCGATCACCGGATTTGACAAAAATTGATTTTTTTCTGTGGGGTTATGTAAAAAACAAAGTATATAATGTGTCTGCAACGACAAAAGAGGACATGAAAACTCGAATCAGAAATGTATTTCAAAGTATTGATATTCAAATGCTGAGAAATGTGAGTCAGTCATTCGAAATTCGATTACAAAACTGTTTTGATGTTATGGGAGGTCACTTTGAACAACTTTTATAATTATGTTTTAATTGTTTTGTTTGTTTTTGAGTTTATTTGTATTCACACATATTATTTATTATTGTTTATAAAGAGTATTTTACGAAAAACTAGTTTAATTTATCGACATAACCATAATTTTCATTTATTGTCAAAAAATATCGATAAATATTAACTTTAGGTATAGGGAATGCTTAATAAAAATGAAAGGCTTGGGACTGATGATTTCACTGGTGATATAAAATATAAGGTGTCCCATTTAAATAAAACAAGAAAATCAAGAGTCTGAGCATTTAGTCTCCCTGTATACGAAAAAACATATAATAAAAATATAACTAAAAAAAAGTATAATACATCATATTATAAAATTCGTGTAGGTAAAAAAATGTTTTTGTCTACAGTGTGTAATTGGCTGCTGGACGTTGAATTATGTACGATTCTCTCACAAAAATGTCAATTCCTTGAAAAGTACCCTATATAACATAGACAAACCATATATTAGAACAATGGAAAAAAGATGAGTAAACATAATCTAAAATAATATACTGGGGTTATCGTTAAAAAAAAAACATGTTTGGTTCGTACACGAGCTATGCAACACCCTGTATAACTCCCAATAATTTTAAAATGTTAACCTCAAACCTGTCCATAATTTTCTTAATACACTTTTTTAATATCTCTTTCAACAAGGAAGATATCGAACTTTTCCACAAGATTGGTCCACCCTGTATGTTTTGAAGCTATTTATATTAAGGCGCCCAGTTGACAGATAAAAGTATACATCATATACACAGCAAAATGTATATGAACAGCGAACATGAGCGGCGAACACTTGAACTAATATTTTATATAGCATCAAATAATGGTTTAAATAGGCGTCCTCGAGATTTTTTATTTAATGGGTGGTTTAGAGTGTCTACATTATCTTGTTCAATTTTCACTAAAATGTCACTGGGGATCCGTATAACGGAAGCCCAGTAACAGTGGAGTCTCAATTAACCTAAATAAACTAACATGTGTCGAGGCTCAGTAATACTTTGTACATATATACATATATTAATTTGCATTCGATAAGTTCTACCTCGGCCAAACCAGAATGCCTTATGAAATAAATTTCACATCAATGGCAGCCATTTATTCAAATTTTAATATTATTTTATGAAATATAAGTTAACCCTAACTGAATCCAACTCGATTACTTTTAATATTACCTTAAGAGGAGTATTTACTTGGCTGTAGAGCGGAGCATGCAAGGGTTTCGTAGTACCCCACTTTTAAAGTTTATTTTTGACTTATTCTGAAAGAAAAATATATGTACGTGTAGGTACAGGATAAATCTATGCTCCTCTGGAAACACTTTTTTAAAATTTGAAACAGTTTTTTCTAAAAAAAAAATACAAAACTCGACTTGTTTTACCCATTTTCTCAATTTTTTTTAGAAAAAATTAAATTGAATTTTGAAAAAGTGGTTCCAGAGGAGCATAGATTTAACCTTTACCTACACACACATATTTTTTTAATTTAAAAATAGTCAAAAATAAACTTTAAAAGTGGGGGTACTACGAAACCCTTACATTGCAAGATTTTTCGTCTGGAAAGTGGCGCCTCTGTTAGATTTTTAAGAAATTAATATTTGTGAATGAAAACAATTTATAATATATTTTACTGATGTTTTACGAGGGATGAATACATTTTACGTATTTGTACACCTTATTTTTTACGTAATTTATTTCTGTAATACTAAGATTGGCATATATATTATATGCAAGGGTTTCATAGTACACCAATTTTACAGATTATTTTTTAATTTTACTAAAAGAAATTTTATGTAAGTACAGGTAAAGGCTTAACCCATACCTCTCTGGATTTACTTTCAAAATATGAAAAAATCTAAGAAAAGAAACGAAAGCCACCCGATATGGCATGGACCATAAATTCAAAACAAAATAAGATTTGGAAATTTATTTGCAAGTAAAAGTTTTTAAATGTGGACATTTTATTGAATTCGAATTTGATTATGTTGCTGCCAGTCTGGATGGAATTTAAAAAAATAAACAAAACTCTATGATAGAGTTAAAATGTCCATATGGAGCTGAAGTGCGGACTGTAGCAGAAGAAATATGCAGTAGAGAAATAACTTTTTGGAAAAAGAACAATTCCATTAAGGAGAACCACTATTGGTATTTTCAAATTCAGGGCTAGCTGCACATAACACAACTGGATTTTTGCATTTTGTGCTTTTGGACTTCTGGAGGAATAGAAGTGGAGAAAATATCTCAATTTGACAGCTTTTGAGAAAAACAGATACAAAATAAAATTAAAATTTTTTATATGCAATATGTCTTGCCGGAACTTGTTGACAGCGAAGCAATAGAGACATGGAAGTACGAGACAGAATATTAAATAATTCGTGAGAAAATTTGTTTAATGTTTATTAACATAACGCAAGGAATCTTAAATTATTTTGAATATTTTTATTAATTTAAGAATTAAATTTTATTTATTTCTAAAACATGGTAGTAGGCGATCCATTTAAGATATGATTAATGTCTTCTTATTATTATATTACACTATTTTAAATTTAGGATTTTACCAGTGGCAGTGGTAATTGATGATAGGTATATAATTATTATTACACCAAATGTTTTAAAAGGCTACACCAACTAGTGGACCACGCTTTTAAGTCCCCAAATAATAGTTTCAAGATTTTGATTCGGATTAGAAGTTTTACTATACAGGGTTTTGTGTCAAAGCCAAGTCATGTAGGTATTGTTATTGTAATACGTAGATGAGTAACTATCATCAATAGAAATTTAAAATTCAAACATAAATCTTTGTAACGACGTTATTTATAACTTTATTAACTTCATAACGGTCAAAAATGTTAGTTAACTTATTTAATTTTAAATATAAATTGATTTTAATTTTAACTTAGAAATTTTCGAAAAGTTCACTATATTGTTTAGTTGTTGCAACTTTACTGCGCTTAAGTAGCGTTCAGATTAAAATATAAATTTATGAAGCTTAACTGAAAAACAGAAACTAATTCCAAAAAAAGTATTATGGCCAATAAAAAGAATTTTGAATTGTGATATCTGCAAGTCCTTATTTAAAACCTTTAAATTTAATATTATCATTATACAAGAGTTATTTTAACAAATTGATACAAATATCGAACATAAGTTTGTTGACATAATCATTATTTCCATAATACAAATAAATATATCTCTGTTAAAGAATACTCATAATTTATTTAATATATTCATTTAAACATGTTTTTGTTTTTTGTCTGGATGATATTGAATACTAACTTTTTCTATATAACTTATCGACACATTGTGAGATAAAAAAACAGACAATTAAAAGCGTACTCACAATTTCAATGCTATACTGTTTCCCAAATTATGAAAATACTAAAGAATATTTAAAAAAAATAAAAAGCCAATTAAACAATGTGTTAATATCTAGAGAAGAACATCGTACTTCTTTTTTAGAAACGAAAAGTAGTCAAAAATTGTGAAAATAACAACATATTTTTATTTCACAAAAATAATAAGTCAGTTTTTGTTTTTTATGTAAATCATATCATTTTCAAGGCAATAAAACAGAAGAAAAGTCACCGAATACCGATTTCAAAAAGGTCTATTAGTTTTTATAGGAAATGGAAAGAGAAAGAACGCTTTTTAAACGAGTTAAAATTCTTTACATATTTCGATAACTATAAACGGATTAAGGTATTTTGTACCGTGTTAAAAAATTTAAGAAAATGTTTGAAGAATATTTCTTTTTTTTTAAATTAGTAAACTTTGACAAACATATACAATATTCTAAAAGATAAATCACATTTATGTGATTATACAAAACTTTAATTTATTTTTCTAAAATAATATGGATTGTCCTCTAAAATATATATAGTGGCCCGCAAAAGTCTGCTTTTTATGTTACTTTTTTCAGAAAATGTTATTCCTGATAAAACTTAGTGTTTAATTAAACCTAAAACTTTATTTATTCAAAAAATTCTGTACCATAAATATAAATTTGGCTGCACAGTGAACTAGGTACTTTTCTAGGAACCGAACCCACATTTTTACATATAAGATTAAAAATAGCTTAGCTTAGTCTTAAATAGATGAGTAATTACGGACCTTACCTGATGATGAGGATCTGATCCTCGAAACTGGTCGTAATAAAATACTCTTGTGAGATCCTAAGGACCACCCTCGTTTGATTTACCTATTTTGAACTTATAACTCACACATGGCTACCAAAAAGGAGGAGGTTCTCAATTCGTCTGTATATTTTTTTTATGTATGTTCAGCGATAATTCTTTAACACAATGTCCGATTTAAATTATTCTTTTTTGCTGGAAAGGGGGTATTTCCGGGATGGTCCCATATAAATTTGTTCAAAATCTAATAATTGGGTCAATGGGAAAATCCTCAAACTTTTCATTTTTTATGTATGTTTAGCGATAATTCTTTACCACCTCGTCCGATTTCTATAATTCTTTTCGTTAGTAAGGGGGTACCTCAAGGGTGGTCCCATATAAATTTGGTTCAGATGTGGTGATGGCATCTGCACGATTTTAAAGTCGGTTTTTTAAAATTACTTTCAACACATCTTACGTAAATTAAAAGTTTACTGCTTTCTTTATGCGTCGTTTTATGATTTCTTTTTGCATATGTTTAAGTACAGATAATTATTATTATTATTACTGGCAGTTTATTTTAAATCATTAAAATAATATTTTGTTGATCCAAAAAAGGCAAAAAAAAGCCATGTCAGTGTAATAATAAAAATTAGATATATAAATATAGTATATTATGTACCAACAGACTAAACTTTCACTTTCAATCTCGCCTTTTGTCGTAAAAAGCTTTTAAATTTTTACCAGTGACGTCCGTGCCGGGTTTGAACTAAATATTTTTGAAAAAAAATATGGTGCGCCACTGCTTTTTCTAAAATCCAAAATTATCTTTAAAATTCTTATATATTTTGGAGCAAATTTGGTTTATGACGTACTTTCGTACGAAGCACCCTTTTCGGGTAAGAAAATGAAAACCAGTATATTGAAACTGCTTTTGATATTTTGTTGAAATTTGGTAGGAACCCACCATGAGTGGAAACACTTTTTTTGGGAAAAATTTCATAAAAATATCTAGAGTGATAAGAAACTTATGATAAAATAGTTATTTTTTTTTTTCTTAAAACTTTAATACCCAAAGGATTCACACCCTTAAGTATCGGCACTCAATAAATAAATACCCTGTATTAATTGATATTACCTTATTCGAACCAATCGTCTATTTTTTCGTTATTTGTATTTATATTTCACACCTCTATACTCTTAAATGTAATTTAATCTAACTAAACCTATTCACTAAATTAAAATATAAAAATAATGTAAAACCCTCTAATAAATCGAACTGCGTTATAACAATATCTCGTAATGCACCGAGAAAAGCAAATACGATTCTGGTTCCCCTAATTTAGGTAACTCTGACTCACTCCGTGTTAGGATTTTTCGGTTCCTTTGTCTTAATTTCGCGCGTTAGAGTTTGGAATACGTATCCCTCGTATCTACAGGCAATTGTTAAAATTATGAATGAATGCGGATTTTGTTTAGTCTCGGAAGTAATTTTGTAGTATTTAGGCTCCACCCTAAAGTTGTAATTTTTATACCTACTAAACTACCGTTGGCCCGCAGGTCTTTCAGTTTGTAATGTAAATTTTCCTCTTAATTATGCTGGCACACTCAGTAACTTTGTAATAATTATTGTATTGTTTTAAACTTTTTATTTTAATTTACAGAACCGCGGAAACGTTTTCGTCACCGACAACTTCCTAGAAGGTAAACCAGAAGTAAGGAAACAATTCGTTCACATCGCTTCGCACAACATTGTAGAAGAAGCGACGAACCTCGAAGAAGGCTTAGACTGTGAATGTCGAGCCACCGGTCCATTCACAGCAGACAACGTGTGCAAAGAAACATATTCCAAAGAGAGAAACTCACCGGTAAGACTGACCATTGTCAAAATGTATTATTTTTTCAGTATTTCCTTAATATTTGCTATTTCTGTTACTCTAAGAAGATTTAGACAACCCAAATTGACAGAGATATTCAGAAAAGAAAATTTGCAAAACTGAAAGATTTTTGAATTGTATTTACTGTTTTATTAAGAACTTATTATACGCATTCGAATAATCACAATGGCCGCATTTGGTTTACATCTATGGTTGTATCTAACTTCATTCGATACCAGTGACGCCAAATAGTTGGTTTTTGAAATAAAATAACATTTAGACGTTTAAGATGATAGAGAAAACTTAACACTGGTAAACAAATGAAGGTCTACTACAAGCTCAACATAGCGCCCTTCTATGTTATTGAAAGAGCTGGAGGGTGGGGAGAAGGTGTGCACCGGCGAGAGTTGGAATCTGATGACGATCTACAAATTCGACTGTCGTAGCTATATGCTTCGGTGGTTCAAATGGTATTCGCGCTGATGTACTATTTTGTTTTCTTTTCTTAATTTATCAGCTGTTTCAATTTGTCATTGGTTTGTTTTCACTTTGGAAATGTGTGGAACTATATTTATACATTTAAAAAAATTTCAAATAAGAATTCTTCTGTTTTCTTTTGCAGAAAAAAGCAGCTGTGAAGGCGTGAGATGAGCAGAGATGAGTTTTAGTTTTAAGTTACCAATAAGACTATGAAATTAAGTTATGTATAGTTAGGTATACATTATATTTTTTACATCACGGTATTGAAAATTGTATAAATTATATTTATGCACATATAACATACAGAACTAATAAATACAATTTTTCCATGAAGTGTTTTTTTTTTTTAATTGAAGGTTTGGTGTAGAATTGAGAAAGTAGGTTCTAACTAATTATTGATCTATTAAAGAAAGAGCTAGGAAGACAGTATAAAAAAACTATCAATACAATGCATCGCGATTTTTTAAATATATTTTTCAAACACAATAACAATTTAGATAAAGTGTACATCAGGAAGTGGCTAGTTTTTTTAAACCAAAGTAACTATAATCAGTGGCGTAGCCAAAAATGTTTCTTTATGAGGTTTCTGACAACTATGATGGGGGTTTCTGACAACTATGGGGGGGAGTTAACAAACAACGATCAGCGCCAATAAGATGACGAAAACAGTAACGCGAAGGTCCTCCATGGGGGGTTCTGACTCCCAAAACCATTGACTATAATAAATATCAGGAATATCCAATATGAGGTATAAACAGGCCATATATATACGCAACAATGCCACTGACGATGGATAGAAGGCCTCAACGAAATTAGTGGAATATTGGAGATCACTCGGACCAATTGGATGTTCCAAAATAACATCCACTCCAGGGATACAAATTTAGGATGCGCAGAAGACTGCTGTTTGAATATAGGCGGTTGTCATATTGTATTGGATATAGTAAGAGAGTCCATTGCAATTTTCGACCGTCATCTGATAGCGAAGTGAAATATGCTCCAACCAAAGGCATGTAACAACATTGTACTTTACCAAATTGCACCTGTGCCAATCCCTATCCTGAGCAAAGTGGTTAAAAAAAAATATTTTATGTTCAAAAAATCACAAGACATGACAGCGACAATTGTATTTTCCCTGAAAATTGCAATCATAATTCATTGTGAACCTAGTTTTTAAACCTGAATTATTAATATTTTTTCTACACCCACAGATTACAACACGAAAAAGTATGCTATTGCCTTCAACTGAACGAATATATTTCATATCCATTCTAGGTAGTAAGAACACTACAAAATAATTAAATCCACCAATCACCGTTCATATTTTGTTCAACCGAATGCTATTATTTTTAAAATTTTAAATAAGTGACAATTCTGTCAAACTAATTGTCAGTATATTTTTTACTTATTGAAATTAAACGTACATTAAAATGGGTTATTCTTGTGTATAATATATAAATAATAGCATTTCTGTTTTTATTTCGTCTATGATTATAAATAATTTGTTAATTTAAATAAAACTATATGAAGTAAATTTAATTACGAGTATTAAAGCAACAAAAATAAAATAAGATAGTCCTGTGGTCAGCGTTCTTACCTTCCACATGGAAGGCACGAGTTCGATTCTAGGATGATGAAAAATGAAACGAACTTTTTATTTTTATTTTATTTTATTTTAAAAATTATGAGAAGTCATAAATTATTTGTGTGTGTGTGTGTGTGTGTGTGTGTGTGTGTGTGTGTGTGTGTGTGTGTGTGTGTGTGTGTGTGTGTGTGTGTGTGTGTGTGTGTGTGTGTGTGTGTGTGTGTGTGTGTGTGTGTGTGTGTGTGTGTGTGTGTGTGTGTGTGTGTGTGTGTGTGTGTGTGTGTGTGTGTGTGTGTGTGTGTGTGTGTGTGTGTGTGTGTGTGTGTGTGTGTGTGTGTGTGTGTGTGTGTGTGTGTGTGTGTGTGTGTGTGTGTGTGTGTGTGTGTGTGTGTGTGTGTGTGTGTGTGTGTGTGTGTGTGTGTGTGTGTGTGTGTGTGTGTGTGTGTGTGTGTGTGTGTGTGTGTGTGTGTGTGTGTGTGTGTGTGTGTGTGTGTGTGTGTGTGTGTGTGTGTGTGTGTGTGTGTGTGTGTGTGTGTGTGTGTGTGTGTGTGTGTGTGTGTGTGTGTGTGTGTGTGTGTGTGTGTGTGTGTGTGTGTGTGTGTGTGTGTGTGTGTGTGTGTGTGTGTGTGTGTGTGTGTGTGTGTGTGTGTGTGTGTGTGTGTGTGTGTGTGTGTGTGTGTGTGTGTGTGTGTGTGTGTGTGTGTGTGTGTGTGTGTGTGTGTGTGTGTGTGTGTGTGTGTGTGTGTGTGTGTGTGTGTGTGTGTGTGTGTGTGTGTGTGTGTGTGTGTGTGTGTGTGTGTGTGTGTGTGTGTGTGTGTGTGTGTGTGTGTGTGTGTGTGTGTGTGTGTGTGTGTGTGTGTGTGTGTGTGTGTGTGTGTGTGTGTGTGTGTGTGTGTGTGTGTGTGTGTGTGTGTGTGTGTGTGTGTGTGTGTGTGTGTGTGTGTGTGTGTGTGTGTGCGTGTGTGTGTGTATGTGTGTGTATGTGTGTGTGTGTATGTGTGTGTGCGCGTGAAAGATCAAAAAATTATTCATATTTTTCATGATTTTTACCTACTTAATAGCGGATAGATGTTTTAAGAGGAAGAAAATGTTTCTCTTCAACGATATATAATACGATATGTTTGAATAGGTTATTTTCTAGAAAACTTTAAGGGCAAAGAAAATCAGCGCTGTCATGCCTTGCGTGATTTTTTAATATAAAATTATTATTTTTTAACCGCTGTACTCAGGATTGGGATTGGCACAGGTGCCATTTGGTAAAGTACAATGTATGGTATAAATTTCATTTTGTTATCAGATGACGGTAAAAATTTGCAATGGGTTCTTCGGTTATTAAAATTTTATTCTGTATGCGCCAGGGATATAAATCCGTGTTTATAAATGGAACATTGAGATCAAAAGTGTCGAATCAGAATGAGCGAACTGATTCTTTAGCTATAAACTGTGGTATTGCCATCAGACTCCATTAGAGACTGGAGTCAAGAAGTTTTATTTCTTTCTGAAGAGTCCTAATAAGGACGAAGCACGTCCAAAAAAAGATATATGTCCTAAACGTGAAAACTTGTAAATTAGCGGGAGGTAAGGTTTAAAGTTAAAACATGTAATATTTTCCAAAACCAGACTAGATATTTAAAAGAAATTTGGTATAGCTTCTACGCATCAACAGGCATCATCTGAAATAAACATATTTTTTTATTTCAACCAGTGGCGTTCGTGCGAGATTGCAGCTAAGTATTTTAGAATAAAAATATGGTACGCTACTGCTTTACCTGAAACAAAAATTATTTTCGAAATCTTGATTCATTCAAATTTTTGCACTTATTTATTTACACCTTGTATACAGGGTGGACCGGATTTAATTTGCGTATACAGAGATCTAGTAAACCGTAAGATATACATTGTCGGTTAAATGGCGAAAAAGTTTCGTATTTTGACGGATAATACAATGGTCCATAGAAGTTCCAGATTTTCTAAATGGTTCCGGAGATATTCGATCAAATCCGAAAAACCTCATTTTCGTTTTTTAAGTCGTGCGTTGTTATTATAAAAGATACAAAAAAAAATTATACGAAGTTTTTGTTATAAATCAAGTTCCCTATAATCTGCCATGTCAAAATTCATATTACGACGTTTCGTATTTGCAGGGCCACCTTCAACTTATTTTTTTAAATACGGACCTGGGTTTTTAACTGTAATTTTTTATAGCTTTTGTATAGCTAAATACAACGATATGTTACAATTTACCATTGTACTACGTTTCGTCTATGAAAATATCATCAGCTATGTAACTTCTGATGATACCGTTTCTTACTTGATTAAAACAAGATAGCTAATTAAATAATAATTAAAAAACAAAAAATGCTTAAAATGTGAAAGTTTAAATATTATTTGAAACATAATGCAAGAATTATTTAATTACAAAATGGGTTACAATTTTTTATCAAACATGATTAAGTACAACCAGCAAACAAGACTAATGAAGAACGAATTATGGTTGTACACATTCTACAAATAATAAAGCTAATAAAAACATTAAATGAAAAACAAAACGGCCAACCAATCTATAAATTCCTATCACCTGATTTTCTGTAAAATCGTTCGCTTAGGTTTTTCACACCGTATTTTTTCTATCTTTAATGTTTTCATTTTTGCATACATAAGATCTTAACAAAATCATGTTTGCCATGCATGTCAGTTGTAACTTGTCACCAATATTTCTGTTATAATCTGTAACATCCAATATTACAGTACTTTTTAGCTTTAAATCATTTAAAATTAAATAAATATTATGGTTCATTATACTGAAGAAGAGAAGAAAGATATGTATGATGTGTACATAAGATGCTATAGGAATGAAACCCGGTCAGCTCAGACTTATTTAGATTTATATCCTGATAGATAACAGCCATCTAAGAGGATGTTTTCTTATATTTCAAAAAATATGGCAGGGCATAGCAGTGTGAAAAAAAGGTGAACTAGATATCAGGTTCGACATACTGATAATGAAATTAATGTTCTTGCCCAAATACATATTAACTCTGAAAATTCTACTAGGCGAATAGCTAAAGAATGTGTAGTAGGAACCTCCACGGTTAAAAGAATTTTAAAGGAACATAAATACAACGGGTATAAATTTCAAAAAGTCCAGAAATTACACGCTGGAGACTGATAGAAGACTGATGTTCTGTCGTTGGTATAGTAGAAAACTGCGCAATAACCGTTCTTTCAACAAAAAGATATTATGGACGGATGAATGCTCCTTTACTAATAGTGGAATTTTTAATCCCAGGAACAAGCATTTGTATGCTACTTCTAATCCCTATTTAATCAGAAAAATTAGACCAGTTCCGTTTTACCCAAAATGTGTGGTGTGGACTAATCAATAATCAGATTATTGGATCGATTTTGTTGGATGGTAATTTAAATCAGTTCCGATACCTACATTTATTGGAGGAAGTACTCGATGAGATGCCCTTACAAACAAGACAACATCTTCAATACTTTATGCAAGACGGTTGTGGTGCACACAATGCTAGGAGGGTTGCAGAGTATCTCGATCAATATTTTAGAGGTAATTGGATTGGTACCAATGGACCAATAAGATGGCCTCCTCGATCTCCGTGTCTTAACCCCATGGATTATTTTATATGGGGCTTCGTAAAGAACCAAATCTACGACAAAAATATGCCAAATAATCTACAAGAACTTCGTCAACGAATAGTAGATGCATTTGAAAAAAATACACTAGAAATG